AACACTCAAAGTCAGTTTCATCTATGAACAGTTCATATACACTCTTGTTTGCTTCTAACAATGTTTGTCTCTCTTCGGTATGTGGAATTTGTCTTGGATTGAACTTTGAAATATCTAATGTCATAAAATATGAGAACAAGTAGTTGTAAAAGTCAGATGTCAAAGTTTCTGCTAAGTCGTCAAAATATTCTGTATCTTGCATATGAGCTTCTGACGTTCTGACAACTACATATCTTCTGTCAGAACTTTCTAACTTCATCGGAACAGAATTGTTTGAAACCATAATGAAGTTTGCAACATTTTCACAAACTCTTTGGTCTTTATATTTTCTTTCAACAACTCCAACTTTGTCTGTTATAAGACTCTTCAAAGCATCTGAGTTCAAAACTTTTGTTGTATCTATACTTTGAAGTTCGTTACATACTATAAGTTTCATATTCTCTATTGAGGAGTTAAACTTGCCACAGATGTTTTCTAAGTTTGTCATATTAGGGTTCGAATAACCTTCTAACAGTTTGCATAAGATATCTGTAAAGAATGTGTTCTTAACCTGTTCCTTGTTTTCCAATTATAATGAGAGCAGTTTTCATTTTTAGCACTTGGATGTTGTAAGATGTTTGCAAACCAACATAAGATATACTCATAAACCTTTTCGTTTCCATTGCATATAATTTCTTTGACATGGTCTAACCAAGCTTCTATAATATTTTCTTTCCATTCTACTTGTTCGTATTTATATCCAGTGAAGATAGAATAGAAGTTTGGAGAAGGTGTATAGAACTTTATACCTCGAACTGAAAAATCTTCTAAACTTTGACAATAAGATATCCCAAGCATCTAACATCTTCATGCCAACTTGTACGACTTTTATTTTCTTAAGTTTCTGTCTACATTCTTGTTCTGAAACTATTGTTGCTCTGGTTTGTTAAAGACAACAATCCCATTCTTTCATGACATAACATTCTGGGGCAGAGTCAACATAAATGACTAAACGTTTCAAATTCTCGACTGCTTTGTTATAGTCTCGAAATGGACACATATTTCTGAATGCTTGGAAGTCATAAAAATCTGAAACATCTATTCTGTACATTTTTATAAAAAATAAAAAAAAATATTTTTTTTATTCTTGACTTTGTTGTTGCATTTGTTGCATTTGTTGTTCTTGAGCTATTTGTTGTTGAAGTTGTTCTTGTAATACAATACTTTCACCAGTTGCATCTTCCAATTCGAAACTTTCTGCCGTCATTGACAAATACATAGGACATAAAAAGTTTACAGGAACAAGTTTGCGTCAACTAATGTCAACGTTATAATTGCCAAAGTGTTTGAGTTCACTAAGGTTGAAAATTCTGCATTCGAATGAACAATAGGCAAACCAGCAGAGAAAGTATTGTTTATACGCATAAGTATCTTTTGGTCATAATAGTTTCTGTCGACATTCGAATAACACTTTGAACCTAAGTTTGAAACAATATATAAGATTGGTGTGCTTAATGTCAATGGAATAGACATTCCTTGTATGACACCTTTTCCTGTTATAGGAAACTGTTGGTAGTAAAAACCAGAAATAAGTTTTGTATTATAGCTCATATCGTTTATAGTAAACTCAGTCGGACATCCAAACATAATGAAACCTGCTCTAGTTGCAGCACATGTTACACCCGTACTTAAAGTATTAAATAAGTCAACAAAACCTGTTGGTGGTATATCTGAGTAAGTATCTTCAAAGGAGTATTTTTACCATTCACAACAATAAAGTCTTCTGGTGTCAAAAGAGCAAAACAGGCTTTAGTCGTCATTGTGTTTAAAGTTAGTTTACAATACCGTCCTTGAGGACTTTGTAAGTTTGTTGTTATAGAATTATATGACTCAGGGTTTTTAGTCGTAATAGTATAAACCATTATATCTTCTGCCATTTATATATATTTAAAAGTTTTTCTGAAAGTGGAGAAGAACTTCATCTAAACTTTCACATGGCGTTTCTTGAAGTTCTCTGTCTAAGAAGTTCAAATATTTTGTAAAGACATAGAACTTTCCTTTGTCTACACGAACAAACAAAACAGGGTCTTTCATATCGTTCAAAAGTGTGTAAAGTCCTTTACATGAAATAAAGTCTAATATTATTTTTCTTCAAACATCTTTCAAGAAGTTTTGACATTTTTACTTAGCAAATAAATTTTAATGAAATGTTGTGGTCGTCAAATATTTTTATGACGTCTGGGAAACTATACTTTAAGTTCAACGTTTCACCTCCTTTCATAACGTATATCTTGTCAATGACATTATATGAAACACCACAGCAACTAATGTCGGGTTCTATTTCTTTGATGTTTATATCGTCTGCCTCTGTCAAAAGTTTCAATAGTTCTTTCAAGACTTCATGAGGTGCAATGACATATGAGTTCACTTTTACAGGGTTGTGTTCGACCAAGTTTAACATTATACCTAAAGCTTGACAAATCTTCTCCTGAGTTTGAAGTTTGTCTTTCAGTTGTTGGTAGTCGTTTCGAATATCTGCAACAGAACTTAAGTCTCTGCTAACTTCAGGATATGTTGGTTGTTCTTTTACAGGAACAATTGTTATACCATCTTCGTCTTCGTATGGTTTCCCCACTTCAACATCTCTGTCTTTGACATTGACAACAACACTTTGACTGTTTGTTTGAGTTGGTGAATTTAACTTCACATCTGCCACCGCCATTAAACCTTTTGAAACACTCACGCTTCTATTTTTCGGAAATGACATTTTACTTAGAATAAAAAGATGGACGTATTCGAGTATATCTTTCGAATTGAAGCAGAACAAAGTTTACACACACAAACAATACAAATACATTGACAGAATAGTTCTTTATACAAACAATGGTAAATGTTATAGAATAGCAATATTTGCTGAACCAAAATATTTCCATAAAGCAAAGAAAGTTGGTATAACTGAAATGGTGAAAGTTCTTGACGTTGACAAAAATATAACAACAAAACTTACAGATATTTCTAAAGGTAAGTTTATCTTACAATATTATGTCAAAACTGGCGTACTGTCAATATTTGACGGAGAGAAGTCAGTTCAAGAACAACTTACTGACCTGCTGCCAAAATCTGCTCGATGGAAGCTGTCGTTATGCCAATCTGAGGAGCCCCAGCAGGTTTCATCGAACGAATCTTCAAAAGAGCATCTTCCGTGAAAAGTGCTATTGGTTTTGTAAACTTCTTTGCTCTCAGTTCATCTGGACCGTCTCTGTCACCAGTATATTGTATTTTACAGTACCAACAGTTGAAATACCACCCATAAAGTCTTCTGAGTCAGCAAATGGAATGCCAAGCCAAAAGTTTGAACGGTCTCCATTTGTATATTGAGTTTTTTGACCTCCTGTATGAGTCCATACTTTCACATATGGCATAATAGAACTTTGCATTTCAGGGTTAATGGTTGTTGTGAAGTTGTTGTTAAAGTTCATAGCATCTAATGTCAAGTTGTATGACCTCATATCCTCAACTGTAGAATATTCTTCTCTTGGATAATATTTGCCATCTATGTTTATATGATATTTAATACCGGGGTTGTAGAAACAAGAATAGTCATTTATAGTTTCGTCTGAACAGTACAAACATAGTATCTGCATGTTTCATTGCAGTTGTTAAAGCAATATCTGTTCTTGCACCTGGGTCAGCACTTTGGTTTCCAACTTCACCTGCAAAGTCTTTGACAGATATTTGGTGTATAGGGAACATAAGTGGAACTGCAATATATTTGGCAGCTAAAGCATTTGAAATATCTGGGTCCAACATATAGACTGCAAGTCTGCTTTCTATTCTCTTGCATTCAAACTTTTCGCATGTAAACTTAACTGGGTCCCAAGCAGTTCCAGCAGCATTGAAATAATAGTTTACTTCATTGTTGAAGTTTGAGAAACCAAAGTCTAAGTCAACTTTGTCTTTGCAAAATTCGGCGAATGACGTTTGATTTGTTCCCTTTACGTCTGTAATAGTGAATGGGTCTTGTGTTGGTGCAATGACTAAGTTATTTTTGCTTGGTAAGTTCGATAGAAATTTTTCCTGCCCAGTTTGGCAAGTATCTTAAAAACCTGAAGATGAGGAAAGATGACAAAGGAACTCTAAGTTTCAGTTTTACTTTGGTTACTGCTGCTTGCAGTTTGTCCAGAAAGGTTAACATAAACTCCTGGAACGTTAGGGTCAAGTCTTCTTATTTTCTCAATATTTGCATACTGGTCTGTTTGTTCTCTAGCTTGTGGTTGTACTGAGTTTCTCAAAGCGAACCATTCATAGTTTGCCCATGTTACTGTTTGAACTAAGTCAGAGTTAGAATATATCTTATATCCCATGAAAACTTCTGGAGCATATTGGTATCCGACATAGAAAATTCCATTGCAACCTTTCTTGTCAGACAACTTGGCAGAAGGTTTTATTTCAATGTCTTGTTCCACGTATAAGAATGAGTTGTCAATAGAAATAATATGAAACCTGTCGCAAGCAATATCTACTGTTGTTGAAGAACCTTCTCCAAACTCACCTACGTTTCCATAAGAACAGCAGTTGTATATTCGTAAGTTCCAGGAACTATTTCTGACCTTCTAATGGCATTGTCGCATTCGTTATACCATTCGGAAACATTTCCGTTCATGGCATCCAAAACTGTTGGCGTTATATTCTGAGCGGCGTACATTTCATATGGGTAAAAATATAGAATAGTTGGATTTATGTGTCATAATAGAACCCACTCGGACCAAGCTTTACTTTCTTCCTGACTGAGTTTTTAACTCTTCTTTTTCCTTCATTGCCACTACTTTCACTAGATGAAGTTACTTCTTCACTACTTTCACTTTGTTCTACTCTTCTCTTCTTCTTTGGTGTCGCTTTTGGTAACTTGCCCTCTGCTTCAAGTTGTTGCATCTTTGCCTCATGTTCACCTAGTATGTTGTAAATTTCCCATGTCCTTTTTGCCTTTGGGCTCTGGTCGCCCATCTCAGGTAACCTATATCCTAGAAAGATTTTGTCATAGTTTGTATTTGAGTCTTCGCGTATTGTTTGCATGACTCTTTCCTGAGTTTCCGGTTCAAGCTCTTCAAATATAGCTTGTCCATATGGAATAAGCTCGTTTCCAAATATATGTTTTTGTAGCCATTCTGGTTTTCTTTCCATGTTACCAATAATATCTTTTGTGAATGGGAAAGCTTTTACCCAACGTTTCAGGCTTGCGTCATTTATTTCTGTAGTTGGTTTTATTTTGTCAAGGAACATGTTTTTCAATACTAACATTTCATTTGGTACTGTCCATTTGAGTTTTCTTAAATATTCATCCCTTCTCAGTTCATTGTCTGCAAAGTAAGTTTTTATGACATTTTGTAAACTTTCGTTTGCAAGGTCATGTACAATAGGTTCTCTTCCTTCTATCTCCCTAACTTTCTTTCTAAACTCTTCACCAAATATACCATCTCTATGGTTCTGTGTAGTTCTTTGAGATAAATGTTCTAGAACGTCAGGTGTTATATTTCATCAGCCATGTTCATTTCATACTGGTCCAAAATATCTGCATGTTTCATATCTTTCAATGGCATTAAAGCCGCGCTGAAAATACCAGCTATATCTGGTTCACCATTCACTTCCATTGCGTCTACAACTTCTTGGAATTGTGGTTGTAAGTTTATGAACCACCTATCCGGATTAGCTTTATGACCCCATCTCATTGTAGTTCCATAGTCTGCAGAAACAAAAGTAGGTTTGTTTCCATATTGGTTAGGTTCTGAATGAACTTTAAAACATGTTTCATTTCTATATGTTTTGGTGAAATTTAACCTTTTATTTTCACCGAGTTCAGCCAAAGATTGAACGTTATATGGTCGTAAGTAAAAAGGATTGTTGTATTTGCGTACACTTTCTTTCAGTTTTCCATTCTATGCTGAATATTTTCATCTGATGTTGGAGTCTTTTGTATGTCGGCGAACATTTTTCGATATTCTTCTACTATGTCAGCCGAATTTTTCTTAGACTCTTGGAAAGATTCCATATTCTCCGCATACTCTTGTTGAGGGTCAAGATTTTTCGGCTGTTCCAAATCTTCATCTAGTTCTGTGAAGTTAGTTTCCAAAGGAGGGACTTGTTCGTTTCCTTCAGGCTCTTCTAGCTGTTGTTGCTGAACTATTTCTTCCATGTCTGGTTGTATCTGAACTTCTTCCTGTGGAGTTTCTTGTACCTCATCTGCTGGCATTTCATATATTCCGAGACCGTTTTTAACAAGTTCCCTATTTAAGCCATCCGCATTCATAACCCTTTCTTCTTTCGTTCCGTCTCTATTTTTACGCGTTTCATGAAGATAGTTGAATTATCATTTATCTCTGACACCAAATATCTCGGAGTAAATTCATCCATGTCATTTGGATGATATGCTATTAAATCATATCCCTTAGCGAGCTTGTATTTTCCAGGTTTGAAATTATATCCCATTTGGTGCTGAACCATAAAGCTAAATAGGTTCGGGTCAGTATTTCCTTCCTTGAACTTTCTAATAGCTTCTTTATATCTGTCACTAAAGTCAAGAGTATCTGGGTAACCATAGTCTTCCTTAAGCATTTTTAAGAATTCTTGGTTTCCTTGTTCTCTACTTCTTTTATGTCCTTGCTCTGTTTGTGGTGCAGTGTTTTGAACTGTTGGTTGTGGTGCAGTGTTTTGAACTGTTGGTTGTGGTGCAGTGTTTTGAACTGTTGGTTGTGGTGCAGTGTTTTGAACTGTTGGTTGTGGTGCTGGATTTTGAACTGTTGGTTGTGGTGCAGTGTTTTGAACTGTTGGTTGTTGTGTTGGTTGTTGTGTTGGTTTTGGTGCATGCCTGTGTCTGTGTCCATGTGACGATGTAAATGTTTTAGGTAGTCCTGGTGCAGGTGCTTCTCTTGGAGGTTTGGTGGTATATAAGTTCCACCAGCTGGCACATATGTTCCATCTGCAGCATAATGTCCTACCTGACTTTTCGTTCTTAAGAAAGCATTTACTAGGTCTGTTTTAGTCTGTTGTAACTCTTTTTCTTGACTTTCCACAACAGTTGCTCTAACGGCGTCATAGGCACTTTGAACTGCCTGTCTCGTTGCTGCATCTGTTATTTTCGTCATATTTTGTGCTACTTCTCTTAACTCGTTGTCGAAACCTTCAGACTTCAGTTTCTTTCCAGATGAGAAGTCGTTCACTAGTTTCACCTTACTATGAAGAGCTTCGAAGGCGTTCTTAAAGTCAGCATTCATTAAAGCTTCATTTGAACTGTCTTCATCCGCTTGTATTTTTGTCCTTATTGACCCTATAAGTTGGGCTGCTTTGGCGTTGGCTTGGGCATCTAACCAGTCATTATTAGCTTTTATATATTCTGCGCTTTTCATTGCCTTTTGCATGGCTGCGTCGTTATTTTTACTTTCTTGTGCTAAGTTTTCATACTGTACGGTTTGGTTTTGCAACTGTAAAAGTTTTTCTGCCTTTACATTTGCTTCAACTTCTTTTTTATACTCATCGCTATCCATATATGTCTTCAGGGCTTTTTGTTTTATCTCTTCATCTTTCAGTACTTTATATTGAGTAGTATGGTTTTTCAAATTTATAACATCTTGTTCCATTTTTGCTACTTCTGCTGCTTTTTCTGACACTTTTTTCGCATATTCTCTGTACTTAGTTCTTTCAGTTGTTCTTCTTTCTTCTTTTCTCTACGTTTAACTCATTTAGTTTCTTTGTGTGTCTGTCATATTCTAGTTTCTTTTCGTTTTCACTTATTTGTTTCTGTATGTCTATGTTTGACTTTTTGACATCTGTTATTTGATTTTTGAGTGAACTCAAATTCATTTGACTTTGAGGGTTATAAGCTGTTCCGTCTGCAGCTCCACCATAGCCTGCCATTTCGCTAAAAAGTGCCGCTCTTAAACCTCCACTCTGTGCACCAATAACTCGGTTTAAAAGCATAGGGTTGCTTGACATTTGTTGCAACATAGTGGGGTCATTCATCATTTGTTGTTGCAACTGTTGTTGTGGTGTCAGTTTTACTATTGGATGTTTCAATGCTCCCTTCCTCTTACGTATATTCTTACGTAGCTTACGTGGCATTTTAAGTGAAGTTAAAAAGCGGTTTTTGACAGATGTTTATATGACACTATTTGTTCAGCACAAAAAACTACTCGGTCAAAGTGTTGTCAGTTTTTAAAATAACCGTCCTATCTTGTTTTTAAAAGGGAGAAAAGGCTTCTCAAAGTATACTTCCTTGGAACGCCCGTAACTTTTCCTGTAGCGACGATAGACCCTTACTTGTCCGGACAAAGTTATACTATTTTGAGTGCTCTACAAAAAAGTCACCGGCTGGTCGGCTGGGGTTCGGTCCTCCTCTTGGGTCTTGGGCAAAATTTCTTAGGGGCTAGAAGGGGCGCAGCCCCTGGAAGCCCCACTACCTTTTTTTTTTTTTTTTTTATCGATCATTGTTTTATCAAATTATCTTTCTTTTCATATTAATCATTGCTTTATGAAATAATCTTTCTTTTCACATTTATCATTGTGTTAAAGAATTATCTTACTTTTCATATTTATCATTGCTTTATTGGATTCTCTTTCTTTTCATATTTATCAATGCTTTCTGCAATTCTCTATCTTTTCATATTTATTATAATGTTATTACATTCTCTTTCTTTTCATATTTTTCATTATTTTATCATATTTTCTTACTTTTTATATTTGTCATTGTTTTATTTCATTCTCTTTCTTTTCATATTGATCATTGTTTTATTACATTTACTTTCTTTTAATATTTTTCCTTATTGTATGGAATTATCTCTCTTTTCATATTAATCATTACTTTATTACATTTTCTTTCTTTTCATATTTATTATAGTATTATTATATTAGCTTTCTTTTCATATTTAACATTGCTTAATGAAGTTCTCTCATTATTGATGAATGCCCTCTTAGTATTGCAATTAAAGAAAATTCAATAGAAATTGTCAAATTATTAGTTGAGCATGGCGCAAATGTTAATTTGATACTTAATCTATTTCTTTTCATATCTATCATTGTTTTATCAAATTTTTATTCTTTTTACATTTATTATAGCATTATTACATTCTGTTTCTTTTCATATTTATTGTTGTTTTATGTAATTTTCCTTCTTTTCATGTTTATTATTGCTTTATGAATTTCATTTTCTTCACATATTTAACTTCATATTATTGCATTATATTTCTTTTCACATTTATCAATGTTTTGTGGTGTTTTCTCTCTTTTCATATTTATTACTGTTTTAAGATATTCTCATTCTTATCATGTATTTCATTGTTTTATATCATTTCATTTCTTTTCATATTCATCATTGTTTTATATCATTTCCTTTCTTTTCATATTAAACTTTGCCTTGTGAAATTTTCTTTCTTTTTCATGTTTATCATTGTTTAATGAAATTCTCTCTATTTTTAATAGATGTCCACTTAGTTTTGCAATCAACGAGAATTCAATGGAAATTGTCAAATTCTTAGTTGAACATGGTGCAGATGTTAACATTAAACTTATTCTCTTTCGTTTCATATTTATCATTACTTTATATGATTCTTTTTCATTTCATATTAATCATTGCTTTATATGATTATCCTTCTTTTCATATTTATTATAGTATTATTACATTCTTTTTCTTTTCATATTTATTGCTGTTTTATGCAATTCTCTTTCTTATTATACTTTTCATTGTTTTATAAAATTTTCTTTCTTTTCAAATATATTTTTGTTTTATAAAGTTCTATTTATAATATCAAATATCCTTTGGGAGCTACAATTACAGAAACTTCAAGAGATATTAAAAAATATTTACTCGAGCACGGGGTAACAATATGCAAAAACCAAGGATGCTACATAGCATAATTTAACAGTTATTAGAGTTTTATTTTAATGTGAGCACATTCAATTTTTTTAGAAAATTAATATCCAATGTTATTTACCTTTTATTGCCAGGTTCATTGATCTTTCAAAAATTCCAAATAGAATGTTAATTTCCAAGACATTTCTTGCATCGTTCATACATGATATTAAGAATAAATGTTAATTTTTCAATGTTTTTTGACATTTTTTTCAATGGAAAATAATCGTATGCCGGAAAATTTTCGATTACATGTAGGGCGTAAATTCAAGTTTAATATTGGGAAAAATTAAATTGTTACGTGGTTATTCTATAACATCCTTGGTATCAACTTTGTGAGTAATTGTTCCGCAATGCTAGTACTTTCTAATTTTATAATGTTCCTGATAGCAAAAAATTTGAATATCCGATAGTGTTGGGAAGCACCCGCATTTACATTGCTATCGATTCTATATCCCTATTCGAATCTCATATTTCTACCTATAACAACCCCAAAAATTTTAGCTAATTTATGAGGAGGCATTATTAATATGTAATTTTTGTATTCACATATCAAAATTGTTAATGCTATGACATATAACTTAATCATAACAGGCTTGCTGATTACTTAATGGAAGAAGAAGTATATATAGTTAATAATTCGTAAATTATGAGTCAACTTCCTTAAATTATCTTTAATAATACAAGATAATCACATCAAAGCTGTTATGACAGCCCAATATAAGACAATAAATTGTTGATACTTTTTTTTATCAAACTTGAGTTCAAATTGTTTGACTTATCATCTTTCTATGCTGCACGTGCTTAAATAGTCTAATAATTCCAAAATGTCATTTTCCTATAAATGACACTTTTTCGGCAAAGTTTTTTAATGTCTAAATAATCACATCCTTATTAATTTTTAAAGATATTTTAAAATGGCCAGACGATGGTTCTAATTCAATTTTTGTTATCTGATTTTTCTAAACATCACTCAAAATGAGTTCCTCTGAGACTCTCATGCTCACAATCTCCGGCATCCGCGGCGTGGTCGGTGATTCCCTTATACCAGAAGTTGTTGCCAAGTACGTTTCTGGATTTGCTGGTCTTCAGCTTACAAAGGGCAAAGGCAAACAAGTCATCTTAGGCTATGATACACGCCCAGCTGTTTCATGGATCAAGCAAGTTACAACAGGTGCTCTCATGGCATGCGGAATCGATGTCGTAGATATTGGCATTGTTCCAACACCAACAGTTCAACTTATGGTTCAGCAGTTCAAGGCATGTGGTGGTATCATCATCACAGCTTCTCACAACCCACAGCAGTGGTGTGGCCTCAAGTTTGTCGAATACACAGGCATCTTCCTTGATCAGCACAATTGCGACGAGATGTTCTCATGCAAGCACTCAAAGTATGCCACCTGGGACAAGCTTGGCACACTTACAAACTATCCAAACGCCATCCAAGACCATATCAACAACATCTTCGGCCAAAAGTTCATCGATGTCGAGAAGATCAAGAAGCAGCACTTCAAGGTTGCTGTCGATACAATCAATGGTGCTGGCTCACTCGCAATCCCAGTCATTCTCCGCCAACTCGGTTGCGAAGTTACAGAATTAAACACAGAACCAACAGGTTTATTCGCCCATACACCAGAGCCAATCCCAGAGAACCTTACACAGCTCGCTGAAGCCGTCAAGGGCCACGATATCGGTATCGCCGTTGACCCAGATTCAGATCGCTGCGTTCTCATCGGCGAAGATGGCAAACCACTCGTCGAAGAATACACACTTGCACTCGCTGTCAACTACGCTCTCAAGTACGGTGGCATCAAGACACCAGTTTGCCGCAACATTTCCACATCTCGCGCTGTCGACGACATCTGCAAGGAGAATGGCGTTACATGCTACGGAACACCAATCGGTGAAGTCAACGTCGCCATGAAGATGGTCGAAGTCGGCTCAGAGATCGGTGGAGAAGGAAATGGTGGTGTCATGCTCACTTCCTGCCACATTGGCCGTGATGCTCTTGTTGCAACAGCCATGGTCCTTCAGCTCTTCGCCGCTGAACGTGAGAAAGATCCAAAGATCACAATCTCACAGGTCAAGGGAGCTCTTCCACAATGGAGAATCTCCAAGAAGAAGATCCCAATGAAGGCAGGACAGAACGTTCCAAAGCTCATCGAGCAGTGGAAGGAGAATATGACAAAGACATACGGAGATGCAATCAAACTCAACGAGGCTGATGGTCTCAGAGTTGACCACGAGAACTGGTGGGTTCACGTAAGAAGATCTAACACAGAACCAATCGTTCGTGTTATTGGTGAAGCTCACACACAAGAGGAAGCTAATGAACTCTGCACAAAGGTTTACAACGAGTTCATGAATCTCATGAAATAAAAGAATTTACAAATTTTCTATTTAAAATTCAAAATCTTTGTGATTTTTTTCTTTTTTTTTTCGGAAATTGATTCATAATTAAGTGTTCACAGTCGAGAATATGTAAACTAATCATATTTAGCAATGCGTAAAAGGTTTAGAAGCATCTAATTTTATTGTCTTTTGTCAAAATCAAACATCCAGGACCAGATAAATTTATTTGATCCAGAAGATTGTGATATGTTAACATATAAGATGAGTGAGAATTATCTTCACTTCAAAGAATTCAGTGACTTCATATTTTGAATTTTGATTCTCACAGCTTAGTTTTTGAAATTTGTTAAAAATTGAATTTAGTTGCATTTATTTTCATTGAATATAATGGTAATACGAGTTAGCCATATCGCTGATTACCATATCATACTCATATCAATTAAAAATGAATTTTACATTGAGTCATAATCAAAAATATACATATTAAGAGAATGAATATGTAAATTCATCGAGCTAAGTATAAATATACCTTTATTAGTGATTAAAAATAATAAAAGAACAAAATCAGCAATAACATTTTCTATGGACAATAGAAACACCTTCTTCTGTGTATTCAGCTTTTTCAATAGACATTTGTGGGAATGCCTCAAGGGATGCAATGACGCTTCCTCCAAGCCAAACTGCATTTCGCCTTCCAGCAGTTGCAATAACGTTAACTTTCTCTGATGGTGGTGCGAGAGACACAATTTCCTTTTGGATACGTTCTGGAAGGCCACGGAACATTGTTGAACCACCAGCCAAAATGATATTACTAAATAAGGTACTCTGTATCTCTTTTTCACATTTGGTAATAGAGTTAAGAATGCCCTGGTGAACACTCTCGCATTTAGCACCCATTAATGATGGCTGGAAGAAGAATTCGGGACATGTGATTCTTTCTGTACCTAATTCAATAACAGAGCCATCAGGAAGTGTATATGGAAGTGGATCTTCCTTTTCCTGCAATGCTGTTGCGTAATCGAGAGCAACTTTACAAGCTCTTTCTTTAATTTGATTTGCTGTTGAAAGATCGACATTTTTGTCTTTCAATTTTTCGTAGAGATATTTTGTGAGATCATTTCCTGATACAGCGCTTTGAACTATTGTATGTGTAATTCCATAGCCTTCATAAACAGAAACTGTCTGAGATACACCTTCACCGGAGTCGTATACTATACCAGCTGTCTTACCTAAACTGAACAAAGCAAGAATAGGCTGCATTTGTGAATTATAGGCTTTTACGTTGAATGTTTCGAACATTATTTGCATTAGCTTCTCGCGATGGCTTCTCTGTGTAAGTGGTTTTTCTGTTACTAATACTGCATAGTCCTCTGGTACAAGATGGAGCTCATCATAAAATGAATGGCGCCAAATTCTTTCAATATCTTCCCAATTATTAATCACACCGTTTTCAATAGGGTGTTTAAGATTGAGTAAGTCCTTTTTTGCAACTGCTTCAAATCCAACAAAATAATCTTTATTTTGTCCACCAACCATCAATTGATCGGACTTTGGCGTACCAATAATTGAAGGGAAGATAGACTTTGGAGCTTCATTACCTGCAATGCCTACTTTGATAAAGCCTGAGCCATTATCAATAACAATCACAGGAGGAGAAGTCATCGAATAACGAGTTTTTATTGTAAAAAAAATTGTTTTTTGTAAACTTAGATTTTGAGATGGAGCTTTAGAGTACTATAATATGCTCCTTTCGATTATGAAATCATTACATCCACAAGCAAATTTTGAAAAATAGCTATCCATCCTAATTCAATTTTTACATTCTCTTTCAAATTCAACTTAGATAATCAAACAGTCTAAGAATACGTCAGTATAGCTTATATTCAGTTTGATATGACATGGTTACATAATATATCAATCAATTATCAAATTTATATATATGACTTCTTTTTATTCGGAATTCTCCATTGTTTCAAAGAGTATTACTGATGTTGATTCGGTAAACTCTAAAATTAAGATGAAATTTATGAAGTTCTATAATATGTTAAATATCTCACCATATAATAAGATATTACAGAACATACTATGGTAATATAGATTATTGCTGTGCCAAGTGTAAAAATTGAAATGAGGTATAGATATTGATTCAATCGAGATAGAGATTGACAATGATGCATGTATATACATTCAAATATCACAAATCTGCAGAAAGATGCAACATTAATTAATTCACTTACATTTTCAATTTGAAGTTTCAAAAACATTTTTCAAATTCTTGTTTAAAATCGTTTTATCTAACGTCAATTTTGAATGAGAGTTGGACCTATACAATATTAACCTTGTACATAAGAAGGATAATGACAATGTCATGTTGGAATTTGCAAAAGGATAATGACAATGCTTAGTGCTTCAAAATTTAAGGTTATAATGTATTTTATTCACTGCAGCGAGAAAAAATGTTCATCTGTATTTGCATTGAGATGTAGATAATTGATATCGTGAAGTTAGTTCATAATTTGAATTTCTGCATGACCGGAATTTATGCAACCATTGAGGGTGGTAAATTTCGGTCAATTATAGAAGCAATGATAGAAGCAGATGTATCTATAGAAGATAAAGAATCAACTGCAATGCTTGTCTGGCATGATTCTTTGAAAGAATGCGATTTTTTTGGACCTTTAAAGCCGTGGCAAGTTGTAAATAGAGTTCCAAGCATTAATATTCTTTGCAGAAAATGTCCCTATACTAGAGTAATCATGAGAATGCAGCCACATTTTCCAAATTTATACAATTTTCTTCCAAAATCGTTCATTTTACCAATTCAACTTAAAGATTTCCTTCACGATCTGCAAGTTTCTGGGAAAACTTATATTTACAAACCAGATGGCGGCTCTCTTGGTTGCGGAATTTCAATATTTAAGTCTGGCGATAAGTTTGAAGTGCCCCATATAGAGAAGCTAGCTGTTGTACAACAATATATCGACTCATACTTAATAGATGGAACAAAATTTGATTTAAGATTGTACGTTCTTATAGCTTCGTTAAATCCATTAAGAATTTACGTATATAGAAATGGACTAGCGCGCTTCTGCTCGGAAAAATTTGAAACAGGAACTACATTTAGTCAATTAACAAATGTTTCTCTAAATAGCGAGAACCCAGACTGTGATATATCAGAAATATCACAACTAGTGTCTGATATATTCCCTAGGATGGAAGCAATGGGTGTTGATATCAATGCTGTTTGGGAAAGAATTGATAATGCTATTGTTTCTACAATAATAGCAGCACATGAGTTCTTATCACGATCAGAAGAAGAATATTGTCCTAATGTGGGATATTCTCGATGCTTCCATTTGCTTGGATTTGATGTTTTGCTTGATAGAAATTTGAATCCTTGGATATTAGAAGTCAACAATCGTCCTTCTCTTGATTATTACAGAGGAAAAGAGAGAAGAATGAAAGTACGTGCAATAAGAGATGCAATAAAGATATGTTGCTCTTTACATCACGCACAAATGGCAATTGTTGCCAGAAAATGGGCTTGGAACAAAGATAGTTGGTCTACTTTTGTTAAAGAAACACCAAGCATAATAGAAAATATGGAAAAAACGAGGGCCGAAGTGGAACAAAACACTTTGTTCCATTTGGCTTATCCATCCAACCATCCAAACTCTAGTGAATGGGAAAAGGCATTGGAACTTACTAAGAAAATGCCTTTGGAATTATTACCTGGCCTGAAATTACCAGATAAAATTCTGAGTTCCTTAAAATCTGTTTTTTAATAAAATACTATCTATCGGAAACATTACTTAATCTGTTTTTAAACTTCATTTGATTCTCATCAAGTATAAAAAATCAAGATTAGAAATTATTTATTGATATCTCAATTTTATTATGCAAACATTAACAGAAAAGATGCAAATTCAACTTTAAAACAACACTACAATATAATATTTATTAATTAAAAGATAAATAAAAAAGAAACAACAAATTACATGGAATTTCGATTGTTCTTGAATTGAAGTATGCTACACATATCATCTCTATGATGTAAATGTGCAAGTGCATTCGAAATATTGATAATTGAAAGAGGGGGTGGAGCCAATTCTGGCAAACCTAATGTAAATATAATTTCTTGGGTTAGCGGTTCGTAAACGAGTGAGTAATTAGCTTTTCTGGGTATCAAAAACATGCCGAGTTCAGATATCATTCCATCTGATTGAGTAACCGATTCATTATCAGGAACAACATAAAATACAAACCAAGTAGCTTTCTCTAAGTCGCAGGCATAAAGAAGCGCATATTCTGATGCTGCTTTTCCGCCGAAAAATAAGGCAAAGTGATCAACCAAGGTCATTCCGGCTCCAATGGTTGAAAACGAAGGTTGTGATCCGTATGTTGGAATTTCTGTAATTGTATATTTGTCTGGATCGATTACAAGTAAATTGCTATTTTTACAACATCCGAAAGAGTAAATTCGATTGTTATATTTGATGAATGGAACGGCTGTTCGTCCTGTGATTGTTTGTTGAATTTGCTCCCAATGCATTGTTTTAAGATCAAGTACATTCAGTTCATTCGGCCACTGATCATTATATCCTCCCCAGACAAAGATCTTAGAATCGTGCATAAAGAAAATTGGTGTCATTCTTGGGCTCGGTTCGAGACCTGTTGTTTGAATGTGGTAGACGAATCCGGTTTCAAGATCGATTGAATGAAGTTCGGAGTAATAAACAGAGTCTGCAACGCCTCCGAAAACAATTATCTTGTTATCATTATAAAATGCACAGGCTCCTGTACGAGGTGATACAATTTCGCCAGAAAGATTTAATTGCGTCCATTTCTTTTGAACGCAATCTAGAGCCCATACATCATTTAATAATTCTTTTTTGTATGATGTACCGTAGCCAATGAATAAAGTGTGCATATCATCAGAATAACACGAAAAATGACCTGATCTTGGCGCAGGGCATACACAGTTAGGAACATATTGACTCCATATGCCGTGAAAACCACAGTGTATGATTTTAGTTTTAGATCTATTGTAGGTTTGCTGTTTTGCGTGAGGATCATGGAAATCACTTTGCTGGAGCCTTAATCTAGGACTTTGTAGAGGTAAGTATGGATCGAATTGAATGTGATTACTTGGAGCTGAACCCATTCAATATAATACTTTTTAACATTCAATTTGTATCGTTAGCTCAATTTTAAGCAACTATCAGTATTCGAAATAATAAATAGGAATTTCGAGCGAATAATTTTGAATGATTAAAATTTTCATAAAAAATTTTCGATCATCCTCGGAAATTCAAGTATAATGGTTAAATGAGATAATGGTAGATTATTGTATTGATATAAAAAATTTGTGATGCTCTCAAAATTCAATTACTGTCACATGATTTGATAGATGAAATACTTTCCCCATTTTGAAATGAAAAATACATTTACAACGGCCTATGAGTTGAAAAGTATGATCAGCCTATTCAACAAAGACAGTAAATCAAAGAAATGAACAATACACCTCAAGCAAATTAATTATGACAAATAATTGTTTAAATATCTCATAACATGCCATTCGTTTCTTTTCATATTTATGAAGTGAAGTTTCAATGTTTCATTTCCAATATATACTTCAATTTTTTTGCAAATCAACATTAAATTTACTGACTAATATTCTCTAATATTGCATACGAATTAAATTACAAACGATTTTATGCTTATATGCTCATATCAAATCAAAGAAACATGTGATTCTCAATATTTTTTTGAAATTAACTCAATATACTGCCTAAATTCATAATATAGCTCATTATATGTAATGCATATTGTATATATACTGAAATACATTTGACCATAAGGTTTCAAACTCATAAGAAAGATAGATATGAAATTACAGAAATGTTTTATCAAATAATCATATTAATAAGATATAACTGTTAAAGCAAAACTTCTAAACGTAACTCCAAGACATATATTTTATCTAAATTCTGATATTCTTTAAAAAAATATTGCTCTCTGAACGAAATATTATATACATTATGAAATGAGCATAAAAATCAAAAAGATTGGGTATGTAATAAGTAACAATTGATATTTATAACACTAATAATTATACAATTTAGGCTGTAGTTTGTGGTGATTCTTCTTTAGCATCTTCTTTAACATCTTCTTCTGCAGCATCGGAATTTTGTTGTATTTTTTCTGGTTGTGGCTGTATTTGAGGAAATACCCAACCAGGAGGCATATTTGTGCCTGGAGGAACTTGTGGCATGCCTTGAGGAATACCAAATTGCATCTGTGGTCCATAATATTGAGGAGGGTATGAAAATTGCGTAAATTGTCCGTATCCAGTTGGTAAATATTGATCTCCACGCATGAATCTCGGCGGATTTTGAGAGAGGAATCTTTCTTGAAGTTCGCGTTGTGGAACATTATGAGAGATATACCAAGCATAAGCGCAAATAAATAATGAAACAATCAATATAATAATTGTTATTAAAATTAAAAGAAATAATATAGTATTATCATCGGAAATGATACTTGAATTGCCTTTCATGGGAGCGTTCTTTTCTTTGAACCTCTGTATCTTAGAGAAACAGAATAATGGAAAAAATAAGAAAAACATTTCGTATTATTGAAAAGTAACGTAATTAATCGGAAAACGACAGAAATCCAAAGGAATTGACAAACAAACATTGTCAATAATTTATGAGTTTTGACGATTTTATTTTCAAAATTAGATTTAATCTAATACTTATAGTAAATCAATTTATTCAGGTTTCCAAAAATCTTCTGTCACTTTTATGAAGATTTTAGTCCTATCAAAAATGACTGAAGAATTGGCTCAACAGCTTGAAATATCCAAGTCACAGACTATTAGTCCGGAAGAAAGACTTGAAAGTACCAAATACTTGCAGTCAGTATACGAAACTCCTGATTCTACCTTTATTTTACTTGAAATTTTAACTGATCCGAAGTACCAAGAAATTCATAATGCCGCTGCTGTCGCAATGAATACTTGCATCAAAAACAACTACGAAAAACACTATTTGAACACAGAGCACGCACTTCAACTAAAGGCACAGATTCCTTTATTGATCCGCCAAAGCACAAACTACAATGTATCACGTTTGGTATGCTATGCTATACAATCAATACTTAAGTTTGACGCTGCAGAATGGCCAGAATTAAAAGATTTGATTCAATTTTGGTTACAAAATCAAAAACTCGCGTTGGCAGCTACTCTTCTTTCAAACATTGCAGAAGTGATACCAATTGAATCATTTGATCAGTACATGGATTTCATTATTGAAGGATTGAACTTATGCTTAGCAAATGGAGAGCTTCCGTTAGTTGACACAATTACTCCAGCATTACCACCGATCTTCCACACTTTTCCGGACGATGATCCCCATATTGCTCAGTTAATTCCAACCTTTAACCAAATTCTCGAATTTTTCATACAATCATTACTTCAAACAAAGTATGTTTGCCGTAAGACAGCATCTGCTATTGCAAACTGCTTCCTTTCTGGCAAACTCGCTTCAATTTCTCAAGAATGTTTCTCAGAACTACTTAACCTTGTATCTCAAGAAGATTTTTCACCAATAAACTACACCGTTGTGTTTATGATACTTGAATCAATGCTCGGATCAAGCGGAGACGTAATTGATGACATGATTCCAAATTTGGCCCAAGCAATCATCAATTGCGCATCAAAAGCAATCGATGAAGATGATTCCAGATTCATTGTCATCATAAGTGAAACAGCTTCTGGTGTTTATCCCGATTCATTCTTCAAAATTTTGTTTGACAACTTGAATTTTGATGATGAACATATAACGATATCAGCAATGGCAGTTGCCTTCTCCATTGAAACCAATATTGGCCCAATAATGTCAATCCTTTCCGATATTTTTTCATTTATTGAAAAATATTCAGTTTGTGAGATAGAAAAAGCAGCATTTTACACATTATTAGCTGCTACAGAGCTCGCAAACCAATTCACACTTGAACAAAGTGAACAAGCTTGTCAATTAGTGAAAATTTTACTTCCTTCATTACAATCGACCATTGACGATAACATTGAACAATCACTTAAAGCATTATCAGCCTGTTTCCACAGTTCAGCCCTTCCTGATTATATTTTTGGCCCATCATTTGAATCTGTCATTCCTCTTGTCCAATCTGAGAACAAAGAGGTTTCCCATGAAGCAGTTCATTGTGTGGCCATGATGATATACTCAGCAAGAGACGGAATCGAAACTTTTGCTGATGTTCTCATTCCGATCGTTTCTCAAGGCTGCCAGATCAGCGAAGATGAAGATCCGATTCTCAAGGCCGAATGTTTGGAGTCCGTCGCTATGATGATTCGTTTTTGTCCCGAAAAACTTGGAGATAATGCACAGTGGCTCATAGAATTGCTTCTTAAGATAGGAAATACACCCGATGACTACCTTAGAAGGAGTGTCGTCACATGCTTTGGCAATTTGGTCGAATGCTGCTGCCCTTATTTAGAAAATGTTGCTAATGAGCTCCATTCCTTCCTGGATTTCTGTTTCTACGTAAATGTAGAATCCCCTGATCCCGAAAATGATGACGAATCTTTAGTCAGAGAATCGGCAATCGAATGTTTAGATTCTGCTTTAAGAGTTGTCAGAATCTTATACAGAAAGATGCCTCAAATATGTCCAGAGGACCCACATCATTTCGTTGAAGGCGCTCTGATCCTTGGAAGAGACGCTCCATCTGATGTATTAGTTTTCCCGGCCATGGCTTGCGTTGCAGAAATTCTTGTAGTTACTAAAGATGAAAATGTAGCTAATGAACTCGCAACAGCGATCCAAAGTTGTTTGAGCGGAGAAAATCCTCTCGCCGCTGCAGGAGCCTTCCATTGCTTGAACATTTTAACTAAGAGACACTATGAAGGTATTGACCAATGGCTTCAATTCTCTCTTCCTTCTGCAATGCTCGCAGTTATCAAAAATCTTCCTTCCCAAACAGCGAACGCCAATGAATATGCTGATGAATGCGACTCTAGCGACTCAAGCGATGATGGCGAGTTGCTTATGGACTCAGAAAGAGAAATAATTGTCCGACCACTTTATAAATTCCTTGTATCCGCCGTCAGAAACTATCCACAATTAGTTGAAACTGATAAATTACTCAATAATACGATCAAAGCAGCAGGATGGGCAAGAAATAGAGCTAAAAATAATCCAGATGCAAACAAGACAGATTTGGAAGAAATCCAGAATATCTGTTCACTATTATTGTCTGTTTATGAGACATCGCAAAAGATTCCGACCGTTTTTAAGAAGAATATCATTAATGTTATTGTCAACGCAATATTAGACATTGATTTCACATTCTTCCCAACATCATTGGTCGCTGCAAGAGTAATTTTCGAAAGAGAGCCAAAAGCTATTGAAATTGAAAAATTCTCCGAAAAAATTATTGAAATTTTTGAGATCGAACCAGGCAGTGAAAGGTATTATTGGGCTACATCTGGATTGGCAACAGCATTCATCTGTTCTATGATGGATAAATCGAATGATTTCGATTATGAAACTTGGATTCCACCAATTCTCATGAGATTGCCACTTAGAGCCATGAATATGCCATACGATTTCATTTATTCTCATGTTGTCCGCATGACGACGATGGAAGTTGCAGAACCAAGTCAAATTTTCGCAATTTTCGCAAAAGTTTTATCAACATCACAGAGATCATTTGAAATGCTTAATTTATCTCAGGACACAATCAATGGCATGATTGCATTCACTAAGAACTTTGTTGTTCAAAACGGAGAACAAATTCTTTCTGAAGTTTTGTCATCTGAGCAAGAAATGGAAAGACTTATCGCAAGACTTGGCTAAATAGCATAATACTTATTTATATTGTTTTATTCATAAAAATTTATATACTATTTCTTCTAACAATTTCTATTTTTTTAGTTTGTTTTGATCAAATAAATGATAATAACATATGTTTTGTTAATTCATTGAAGAATATCTCATTTCATCTGGTAGAAACGCCGCTTTTCATTATACTGCACTTAGTAATATAGTAATGAAATCGCAGAACTTTTTTTTTCACATGGTGCAGGTACCAATGAAAAAGATAAGGATGGAGAAAATGTTCTTCATCTTACAGAATACTATAAGAGCAAAGAAATCGCTAAACTTCTTCTCCAGCACCATATCTTCTGTCAGAAATATCCACTTCTTCATATTACAGCACTTAAAAATAGTAAAGATATAACCGAACTCCTTCTTTCACATGATGCAAATATCAAAAAGAAAGATGATAATAGATTCATCGCTCTTTGAGAAGAGTAATGTACTGATTAACTGTCAAATAGATATCAAAAACTATCAACATTAGATGGAAAATCATTTATATATAAATAAACAAAAAGCGTAGATAAATATAAATACATAATAACATTATTTGATTCTGTCTTGCTGTTTTTTGAGGAGTCGGCTTATATCCATTAATTTTCCTTGTGCTTCTGCAAGTTTTTCTTTCAAAGACATGATAGTTCTTTCTTTATCTTCGATTACAGATTTTATCTTTTTAGAAAGTGCTGCGATTTCAGAATTATTCTTATCTTGTAGTTCCTTTTCTTGAACTTTCCATTGCATTTGTTTCTCAGAGAACTTTGCTTTTGCCTCTGCAAGTTGTTCTCTCAGTGTATTTTCATCAATTTCTGCTTGTTCTTTTTGCATTCTTTCTCTTTCTTCTTGCTTCTTAATTGCAATGGACAGTTCTTCTTCTTTCTTCTTTATGCTTTGTTGAATATCTTCTTTCAGTTTCCGCTGTTCATTAATATCGTTAATAAGCTTTTCATTATCTTTTTCTATTCTCGAACAAAGTTCGCGTTCATTTTGAATTTTTTCTTTTATTTCTTCAATCTGCTTTTTCTTTTTCATTTTTTGTTCTTCAAGTTCTTTAATAGTTTCTTTTGCATCTTCTTGACTATCATCGATTCTCTTCTGTGATTCTTTCTTCATTTCTTCTTTCTTTCGTTCTGTTTCTGCTTCGAGTTTTTCAATAACTTTTTTAAGTTTCATTTCATTTTTCATTTTTGTTTCTTTTTCAAGTTCCATTTTGATTTCAACTTCTCTTGCGGCAGCAGCAAGTCTTGCATCTTCTTGAGCAGATTTTATTGCTTTTTCGACATCCTCTTGTATCTTCTCAACTTCCTTTGCAGCTCTCAACTGTTCTGCAGTGAGTTCTGCTTTCCATCTCTCTCTTGCTTCGTTTAACAATTGTTCTTGTTCGTTCTTTGCTCTTTGGATTTGGTTTTCTCTGTCTTTTTCAGCGGATTGTTTTTTCAATGCTAATTGTTCTAATTCTGCTCTATGAAGCTCTTTTTCTCTAGATAATTGTCTGCGAAGTTGATCTTCAAGTTGCTCGAATTCAACTTGTCGTTCGTGCTCTAATTGTTCAACAAGTTTCCTTCTTTCATCTTCAAGAAAAGATTCAGCATCTTTTTTAGCTTGTAAAATGTTTTCTTGATGTTTTGCATTTAATTCGTCAATTTCTTTCTTTTGCTTATCAAGAAGTGCTTTTAATTCCGGCTCTAAACCTCGAACAGTAGCTTCTTTGATCTCGCGAGTTTTTTCTTCTAATATCTTTTTTTGCCGTTGTCTTTCTTGGGCAATAGCAAGTTCTCTTTGTTGAGAAAGCTGTAAATTTGCTTGTTCGATAATGTGTCTCTTTTGTTTGCCAAGTTTTTGCTCTGTTTCAGCTAATTGCTGATTAACTGAATTAAGTTGTGTATCTAGCTTAGCTTTTTCTTCAACAAGATTTCTGTATAGTGTTTGATGCTTGTTGAGTGCTTTTTCATATTTCTGCTTTTGTGAATTTAATTTTTCTAGTAATTTTTGTTTAAGTTGATCTTTTTCAATTTCTGCATCATATACGAGATTCTTGAGTTCATTCATGAGATATTCTTCTTTTTGAGTCTTTTCTTGTAGCTCCTTTTCTAACATGGAAATTTCATTTTTTATTTCGAGGTTAATTTCATCTGATTGCTGAGTATTTATGATTTCATGCATCTCCTTCTTCGTTTTATTCTCGGATGCATCAAGAAATCCAAGAATGTCACCAAGGGGATCCATGAAATATTTTAAACGTGTACTTTTATAATTAAAAACATATCATTAATATCATTTAAATATATAATAAGGGTTTCGTTTTGCTAAAATTGTCACTTTTATAGCATATTTGTTTTTGGATGTTTTGCGAAACCAAAAAAAAAACTATGATATACAATGTGTGTGTAAAGAAAATACTTTATTTACTAGTTAAAAAATCATTTGGTATTGATCAAGTTATTTTTTCTGGATAAGATATTATATGGATAATTGGATAGAAAATACAATTATATAATCTTGTACCTGGTTTAATTAAGCTAATTGTCATCAGAAACTTGTAATTTTTATGAATTTCAGATTTTCTTTTCATTACTGCTTTTCTTAATAGGTCAAGTTCTTATTTACGTTATAAAGTATGATATTTACAAATATCAAGTTATCATGTTTTTTGAGAAATTATGAGAAACAAACAAAAATGAAAAAGATAGGAATAGCAATGAATAGTGATGTGGGTATAGAAAATGTAAGAGATATGAATGCAAAGCAATCAGTATTTAGGACATTGACCATAGATTTCGAAAAAAAAATGCTGCATATTGAGCGAAAACTATGATTATATTATAAGGCTGTCATTTAAAGCATAATGAAACTGTTCCCTTTTCATTTTAATCGAATAAGATAGTAAAGATTTTTGAATTAGCTAGAAACTGATGAGATGTTTTCACAAATCAGATTTTTAATCTCTATAATGCATAATTCACTCAATATCTCAATTTTGATATTGCGAGATATTTTTGCTATCGGTTTCGCAATTTTGACACAATAGCAAGAGGGTTCTATAAGCATTATTATCAACGTAGAAACTGAATATCATATCAGAAAATGTCGCAAATCTAACATTTACAGACCAAATAGCAAAAATAATTGAATACTTTTCGCAAAAACTTTAAAAATCGATAAAAATATGAAATATAGATATTAAAGAGACTTTTTATATAATATTCATAAAGATTTTCCAAAAATATGATACCGCAAAATTAAAAAAGTGACGTCTTGAGTGGAGTCAAAGGTCGAAATTGCTAGCTAAATGTTTTTTAGCGAAATTGCGTATTGTACGTTTTTTTCGCAAAACGAAACCCTTATATATAATGCTTCAAACCAAGATAAAATTAATATACTTTTCTCAATAAAATTTCAAATTAAAATTATTTTGCGGATTATTACAAGGATATCAACAGAATCACTGAATTTATACGAAAACACGGTGAATATGTTTAAATAGAAAAATTTCATGTACAAATTTGAAATTGTCGTAATTTGGTAATTATTTAGTATAAAAAACAACTATAATTTGTAATATGATTCGTGCATGTCGCAAATCCATACTTATAATGCCTTAATACTATTAATATTTAGAGAAAAATTCATATAAAACTGTATATTAAAAACATTAGAGAGAGTTATAAGAAACAGGAGGTTTAAACAAATTATCAAACATTTAGTATTAAAATCCTGATGGATTAGTTGATCTTGTATTAAATGTGGAATTACTTGGTGAACGAAGTGGTGATGGAGGATTTCTTGCAGATGATTTAGAAGGTGATGAGTTAAGAGATATAATTGATGATTTTTGCGAATTAATTTCTTCATTTGCAAAATTAATTGAGTTTCGTGAATAATATGTAGATTTTTGCATCAAAAATTGTATGTCAGCCTGCTTTTCAGCAATCTTTTTATTTAGTGCATCTTGTTCCGAATCAATTGTTTGTTGTGTGAAAACCATTGTTGTTGGTTTCTTATCTCTTTCATTCCAACGCTCAGCAAGCTTCACTGACGGTGGTTTCGGACGCTCGTTGACATCATTTACTCCTAAATCGCGTAGAGAAAGAAAACCAGACATTGAAAAATAATTTTACATTTTTTAACGTCATTTTGTCAAATTTTTGAATCGAAGTTGTCACTTTTTTATATTTATGAGTAAAAGGCTTCAACTTCGAGGGTTTATTGTTAATGATTTTATGGGAAGTGGAAGAGTTGAGCATCAAATTGTCAATGGAAAGATCCAAGGCCTTCCAAAACATCGAAATAAAACAGCTAAATTTACAGAATTAGTTGCCACTTATAAACAACAATCAGCCGAACAAATGGCTCAAAAGAGTACAGAATATTTACAGCAAAATCAATCAATTGTTGATAATATTCAAAATGATGAACAAAGCCTTATTGAAATGGATCCAAAAGAAGATCATGATCACAAGAGCAAAGATTTTCCAATTGGAGATATAGGAAATAACACCAACAAACCAAATTCAAAATGAAATTAAAAAAAAAGCCATAATGCCCCATACAAACATTTTTTAAATCCAGTATAATTTGTAATTGGGTTTTATTACAAAATTTCTTCCAAATCATTTGAAAACTCTGATTTCGAATGCATTTAACAGCTCCTACTCTACATCTAATAAAATATACGGAAAGAAGGATATATTATTCACCATTATCAAAGCAAAACTTTCTATGAAAAAAAAAAACTAAATTCTTTAATTTTTTTTTTAATCTAAAAACCGGTCAACCTGTCCCAGTCGATGCGTTTCTGTCGATTCAAGACTACTTCCAATTACTCTCAAATAATTGTCGTCACCGACTTTAGCAGTTCTTCCATCAGCAAGTTTTACTATGCCAGAAGTTTTGGTAAAATCGACCTCATTGGTGCCATCAGAAATATAAGCTCTTGTATCCAAATAACATCTATACACAAACATGTGTTGGCAAATAGTTCCTTCTCTAAGTAATAAGAAACGTCCATCAGCAAGTTCCCATTTCTTATGAATAGGGAGTTTTCGAACAGGATTTATGGCACTGTAAAGTAAGCCAAGAATGAAGAAGAATATCATAATATGACATATGACATTTTTGCCAAATTTTTCTGAAAAGTGACTTATCAATCTGCGCAAATGTAAGGTCAAAAAAATGCACAATTTTTTGAAGACCTTATATCCGAAATCTTTCATTTTTATTCCAAAAACTATTCTCAAAACAAAATATGTTTAAAACTTATAAAACGATATATTTTATTGTACAGTTGAATATAATTTTTTATTTATTTTAGTTAACAAGCTGTTCTTATATCATTACTCCAAGTAGCGTAACCGGAATGTGTATTTGTTGCATCATCTATGAGGGCTTCTCCGAAAATTGCTTCTCTTGGATCTCCCTGAGGAATAACCTCTACAGGAAGGTATCTTTGGGAGATTGTCATGCATTGTTGGATGAGCTCCTGTAAGTAAGTGTTTTCTGGTGTTTGTGTGTTAGGAACTTCATTTGGTAAATTAGCGAGCGAATCAACTCCGAAAGCATCCATCAAGTATTCTGGAGTAGCTCCCTGTGATATCCAGATGTATATTTTGTCGAAAGTATGAAGCAAGAATGAAGTTCCTCTAGCGAATGATTCTGTTGTGAGTCCGAATGGTCCTTGGTGAGTATCAATAGCGAAGAACCTTGGATAGAACCTAAGACAGATCTCAACAATTGATGCCGCTCTGAAATCGATGATGGCCATCATTCTGCCATCAGGACCAAGTGGATGTCTTGGGCAGAGAAGTGGAGAGACGGAGAGGGCATGGGCCAAATATGGGAAGTATTCGAATGGAAGGTTCTTGTTCTGCATCTTGTTGCAGTTAATCTTCAAATTCTTTAATGCAACGGAAGGACCATCGGTAAGGCAGTCAATAACTGCGCGCTTTGTGTAGTATGAAAGAATTGAAGCTTCATCCATCGATTGGCGAATTTGATTTATGTCTTGTGAAATCGGAATTTCGAATGTGAAAATTCTGATCATTCTTTCGTGATTTTTCGTGGTCCAAAGCATAGCGAGTTGGAAGATTACTGGTTGTGAAAGTGGGTTCTGGATAGCAAACTCGAAATTGACTGAAGCACGAGGATTGAGAATTGGGAAGTTGATTAAATCGTGGTTTTGAATCGTGAATGTGCCTTGGAGTCTGGTGATGCTAATTCCATCAGAAGCTCTAAGACGAATTGAAGCGTTGTAGAAATAATCAGCTGTCATGACAGAAAAGATGTCGTTGTGCATCTGGTAGGCTGTAGATTCGCTATTCTGTCCGTAGTAGAACAATCTGCCGCCAGTAAGGCCGCAAGGAACTCCAATAATCGAAGCATCTGCCAAAGTATCGGAAACAAGGAAAAGATTGATGGAACAGGACTGGCGGTTGAGCATGAATGATACATCTCTGTAGAATTTGAAGCCTTCGCCTTGTGGAAGCTTAAGTAAATCTGCTTCTGTCGGACTTGCGTTTTGTGGACGTGGAGGAGGTACTCTTGGTCCGTAAGTTGGACGTCCGTAAACGCCTGCGAGGATTACACCGCCAAGTGGTGACATAATTCTGTTTAAGCATTCAAGAACTGATCCGAAGCAATGTCCGTCGGCTTCTGGTGGACGGCTGATGAGCATTTTGAGTACTTGCTTAAGTTGGTCGCGCATTTCGCCTAATTGCTGAACAAGTGGGTATTGAACGGCAGGATCCTTCAAATCACTGAGAACAAACTCTGTTTGGTTCTTGAAATCAAACATGGTAATTTTGTTCGACATGGTGACAATGGTGACTCTGCATGTATCATCGAGTTGGTCAATAGTTGCAAGAGTTGAACTTAAAAAGTTGGCCGTGAAACCACTTTTAACGGCTGGTGCGGACATATCCGCAACGATGCAGTAGGCGGCGCAAATATATGGAGCAGAAATGTATTGGCGAGGGGCAATCATATCATAAACTGGATTGGCCAATTCAGGACGCTGCTGAATTGGTATGGTAGATGCTGCATCGGCCAAAACATTTTTAGATTTGCACATGGCGCATGTGTATGACCTTCCATCTGGGGATCCTTGTGTATATGGACATAAATAGGCGGCGCATTTCGAACAACGAGGAATTGGTGATTGAGAGTAATTCAAAACAGGGACGTTGGCAACTAATGAAGGATGAACAACAAGGTTTAAAGGAATTCCGGCATTTTCTGCGACTGTGTTATTTGCTGGAAGAATTGAGACTGATGGCCTGAAATATGGTGGGAATTTAGATCCGTTTATGTTCGGTTTTGGTTCAATGATGTGTTCACTTTCCCATGGAGTGCATGGATTAATTTGAATATTTTGTGGAGCCATCATAGGTGCTGCTTGAGCTGTAGGTGTGATAGGCTGTGCAACCATCTGTGGATTGGATTGCATAACCTGGCTGGGTTGTACATAACGACGATTCATTTATTTTCTGGTCAAAACTGTCACTTTTCGATTTCATTGTGTCAAATTCATTCAATTAGCGAGATAATGGTGTTAAATAGTAATTATATTATAAATTTACAAAAAAATATTACGATTATTTACGAGTTTTTCCAAATTAAATTCACATAATAAGGTTGGTGTTATGATTTGCAATGATCATAATGCTTGATTTTTCAATGAAATCTCAAATAATTCAAATATCGAAATGTCTGATAATAAAATTAGCAATACAAATCATTTGATACTGATAATAACTAATTTATTTAAGATGCTTATGAGTTGTGTATATTGGCATTCATGAATTGCATTCATCTTAGATATAAAAATTTTAAAACTGTTTTTTGAAACACGTGATACATAAATCAAGCATTTTATGCTGATTGCAATAAATTGTTTAAATTTATTGTTGTTTACTTCAAAAATTTGATTTCAAAGTTTAAATTACTAACAATATAGATTATTCATATGCATATTCATTGAGCTTCGAGCTGAACCTTCCAAAAGGAAAACCAAAATGGTGAATATTAAAAGTAAATGTACGTTTGAATATTCAATGTTGCTATTTATAAAATTAAAGATATCCAAATTGATAAACAAGGCATAGTTGATCAGATAAATTGAGCAAATCAATCAATTACATAAGAAACTCTAATAATTAAGAATAATTATTAGAATTGTAATTCAAAACAATCAAAGATATAATTAAAGATAGATAAGTGACTTAATCTGATATTGGAATCATTGTATGTTCTTTGATGTCTCAAAGATCTGAATTTTGAAAAGATATTTGTGAAATTGAGAATTTTGTTTAAAACAAGCAGGATATATCAATTAATTCTAATACATTATATCAGATCAAATAGACATTTGATATTTGAAAGCCAAATACGGGTTATCGTATCCACGAATATATGACTTGTCTCAATGATTTTTTGATTCTAAAGGTAAAGAGATCCAAGCTATGTAATGCAAGTTTTAGATGATTGAAAATCGTTCAAAATTTAGTGGTTTATATAGAAATTTTCTCGAAAATTTTATTATCAAAGAAAGTAGTTCATAGTATATATATTTGGAAAAAATAAAACATCGATAACGGTTAGCTAAATTTTCAATGCGACGTCTAAATTTTCATAGGATGAAACGAAATTACTTAAAAACTTAAATTTTGAATTGATTTACAAACCGCAAACATAACAACATGATTTCGATTAAAATCCGTTAAATTTTTCACTGATTGGACAGTCAGCTTGTCATTTTATAAGTAGAATTATAATAAAATCCGGTATTATTATTTCTCAATTATTTTTTCAATGGTCCATTCAATTTTTCAAAATTTCGGGTTGTAACGTTTTTTTGAAATTATTCATATATAATTTATCATCTGTTAGATTTAACGCTTTAAAATTTGAGTCAATTACAAAAGATCTCAATAATTTCTCTTCACTACAGTTTTGAATATACAAAAATTTGTATATTAGCCAAAAACAAAAAGATTAAACTTTTTAACCTTGACTAAAATAATTATGATCGAATTTGATATTACAACCCATGATCCTGTATGATGGTTGATTATGTTTTATATGGGGAAGAATATACAGGATCATGGGTTGTAATAGACAGACGTGTTGCAAACGCTTCGGATTTCTCTACATTCACTCTAAACGGTACGACAATTTGGGCTCAAACATACGAAGTCACGACTCCATTAAGGGTGCACACGAGAGGATCATGTAAACTTCAGAATTTAGAACCTTATTTTTAGGCATTATATTGGCTACCTATTTAGGCTCGAAAAGCAAAAAATATCAAAAAATACAACTTGACTCCATTATGACCCTTTCATGGAGGTAGTTTTTATCCGCTAGTATTTTCCCTTTGAATCTCTTTACAATTCGAAATCAAATTCAAAACTCAGTAGAAGAAAGGAAGAATCGACTTACTACGGTTGTAATACGAATAAATACATATATTTAATTATTTTTATTTACATAATAATTGTTTGAAGCTCATATTCCAACAAATTTTTAAATAAAAACATTAAAATGTTGAAAATGTTCATATATTTTAATAGGGTTTTGGCACTTTATTGAGGAATTACTACATACATAGTCGAACTGAACTTGATATTTTGAAATTTAAATTATTTATCAAAATTAAAATTTAACTTGAAATTTATAATTATTTAGTCATATTTTGCATAATTCTAAGTAGATTTTGTAAAAAATCAAGAAAGAAAAATTTTAACGTGCTTTATTTTTTCTTTTTTATAATAATACATATTATTATATAATTAACATATTCATAATGTTTCACCCTTTCAAAAATATAATCCTCCTCCTCTCAAATAAACGTACATACGGGTGGCCTCTTTTTTCAAAAAATTAAAATTTGAAATTTTGGGCTCAAATATTAGAGATTTTTTCAACCTTCAACGATATATGTTGTCTATATCAGACCTCCTTTCTTTTTGATACTTAACATTGTTCCTAAATCTTAGCCGTTAAGGCTGTTCTGAAAATATTTTTTTTTCGAAAAAATTCGAAAAAAATTCTTAAAATTCAAAAATCCCTTAATTCCTGAGGATTTTGGAAAAAAGTTTTTACATGAACATGTGTATATTATATGAAGTATATTAATAAGGTAAAAATCAAATTTTATTGCATATTCATCGAGAAAATAAACTAACGAATCCCTCAAAATTGAGAGGGTAATCCTCCTCCTCTCAAATAAACGTACATACGGGTGCACCCTTAAAGAACTATTCTAGATTTAAATTTGTTGACATCGGCCCTAATTCAGATGATATCAACAATCCTAGTAAAGAAATCGGAGATGCAACAAAGAATGCCGTTACCATGGCTAAACTTCTTTTCTACGGTACCATTTATCCTGGTGTCTTCAAACATTCCCCTATTAAACTGAAAAGAAAAGAGCAGATGATGTTTAACTTTGCCATGTTTTCAAGTTTGTAAAAAATTATTTGTTATCTTTAATACGATTTTTAACATTTTAATGCCAGAATGGAGAACAATAATAAATGGCTATTCATACAATCCTTTGATGATATCATCCAAATCGATTTGAAATATTGAGTAATATTCATCATGATAAGAAATTATTATATTTTATGACTTTATTACTTCATACTTCTTATTAAATTTGATATTTTCTGTTTCATAACATAATATAAAGTACTCACAAAATCTAGATTGAGAGGCGGTCAATGACTTTTGAGGGGAAATTAACGCATGGAATTTAATATTATTTAGGTTGATATTCTTGCTTATTATTTCAGAAAAAAATCTTAAAAATTTCAATATGAAAATTGAAAGCAATTCAAAAAAATTGCTAACATGTAAATTTTAATATCCTATGCATAATTTCATATTTTGAACATTTTTTATTTTTGTTTAAAACTTAAAATTTTGCGAATTTAATATAATTTATAAAATATAATACGTATATATATTTAAAATACACTAAATTTAATTGTTAATTGACGTTTTTGGGAATGAATTTTATCAAAACATGCCTGAATTCGAAAATTTGAAAGAACGAATTACATAATCATATATGTAGAATTCAAAATACAAACTTAAAGATTGTATACGTTTAAAATTATTCAGATTGTGTTTGATTTCCACTCATTCTGTTTCTTTTGAACTCTAACACTAACATTTCATGATGATTACATGATCCATTTATACATGGTTGAATTGTTCCAGATTCTACCAGAAAATCAATCCAAATTTCTCAATGTATTCATGTTGATTGGACAAAATTTAAAATTTATCAGCCTGTTTCCAGAGAAACTCATATATTCCCTAATGAAATGTAATTTTTGCTACATTTATTTCAATCAAATTTCAAAAAATTGACTGCAGAGCTTGAAAAGGTGATGAATCATGTTGTTATTAGATGTACATATTAGATTTACTATTTCCAAAAAAATGCTCAAATTTGAATAGTTTTTAGAAAATTTGGAATTACACTCCTTACATTATATATAATTAAATGTTTAAATTTTATTGATTTTTCCCTTTTAATTTTATAACGTGCTCTATCAAAACTAACCTCTCAATTGAAGGCCACAAAATCTAAGTAGTGAGGGTACACAAATTTTGTATGGAGTACGGTTCAATTTTTGAGAGCCTCACTACTTAGATTTTGTGACTACCTTAGTTTTAATATTTTCCAAAAAAATTATGATTGCCTTGAGAATCATCCCCAATATAAGCTTGTATACTTTATGAAACATCTTGTGAGTTGTACCTTGTTTCTATTTAAAGAAAAACTGCATGAAAATAATTTAAGAGTTTTTATTTAGAATAACGAGAATATAATATCAAACGCATCTACTTCTATTCAGCTATATAATTATGCTATTAGTTTTTGGCTATTGGGTTATTATACCGGATTGAAAGCTTCTCAAGTTTTTGACATAAATTATCGGATATTCAATTTTAATCACAGAATTCCTAGCATGCCCTTATGTTAGTTTGATGATTTTCACCTTCAAAATTTCATGTGATCCATGAATTCAGATAATTGAAAGGATGTTCAGAAATTCCCGATTTTTTGATAATAATACTATGAAAATATTGGAAATTGAGAGTGAAAAACTGTAGTTCATTTATCATAAACTGTTATGAGCATAAAGTGCCCTACCTACAAAAAGGTTCCAAGCCTTTATAGAAAGAGATTTACAGCTGAAGAAGACGAGCTCTTGAGAAAATTGGCAAAAGATAACAATAACAAAACATGGCGTGACATTGCAAAGCATCTTCCTGGAAGAAGCGCCACGCAGTGCAGAGATAGATACAATCAATACCTATATCCTAGTGTTGTTTCCAAGCCTTGGACCGATCAAGAAGATAAAATTATTGTCGAAAAATATAGACAATATGGACCCCAGTGGTCTAAAATTGCAGAGTTCCTTCCTGGAAGAAGTGGAAGTAATATCAAAAACAGATGGAATGGGGCTTTATCTAAATATCATGGAATTCCTCATAAAAAGTATAAGCTTGAAAGAAGACAGCCTCGTAATGTTTTGAATGCACTTCAGCAAACTGAAAATGTGCCAACTCCAATTGAAGAAAACTCTGAAATAATGGATTTGTTCGATCAAATATCAGAAAGCATTATACAGCAGCAGTGTGAATCATTTGATTTCTTTAGCAATTGGGAAGAAGTAACTTTGTAATTATCTATAAAAATCATGTATAAAAATGAATATCGTTTTTGCTCTTATAATTCTTTGGATTTCTTTACAATAAATAAGGATCTAAAAATGACTTCACCGAATGGTGGCTTCCAAAAAATCTGGCGAACTCGATGTGAATTTTCCGAATTTATCATAATACTCTTTTGAGACTTTTGTCAAACTTGAAAATCTGATATCTTATACAGAGACTGGTTTCAAGCTCGTGTAAAACTCAAGTGTCAATGATATAATAGTATTTTTCAATACGGTGATTAAATTTTGCCTTAAATTAATTTAATTAAATGATAAAACTAAATTGGTCTAATTCTATTTTGATATGGTGCTATTTTATTAATGTTTTAATGTATTATTATAGTAATTCATAGATAAATATCAATTATAGATTTTATGGTGAATTTCATTCAAATCATGTCCGAAATTAATGGAATTACTGTTTTCGAGTGAGTATGTAATTTTTAATGGTTGTCATATAATAAGTGAATATTGTAGTGTGGATAAGTTATTAATGCGATACAATGTGCCATTCCGAGAGATTTGAAATACAAATTTCCCAGGAATAATGATAATAGAACAAAAAAAGAGCATATTGTACTCTCGTCACTAGAACTTTCGCAATTATTCCCTTTTGATGTCAAATAGTTTACATTGTCAAAAATTTACATTGGGAATTTTTGTCATTTTAATAATAAAATGCTTTCACAACAAGAAATAAAAGATAATATGGTTCGTTTTGAGTCGATTTCGACTGAAGAAGCCGCCCAATTAGCAGGTGTTGTTCTTGATCATATACAACTTAAATCAAATCTTTCTCAAATGCTCGCCGGATTAGAATTCTCAGACACATCAACAAAGCAAATCTTAGCAGATACTATTTTATCATTCATTAATAGACTTCTTCAATCTCGCACAGCTACTTCAGACTGTTCTCCATTATTGAAACAGTCAGGTTTAAATGACGAATACTCCGAAGTAATCGGCAAAGTTATTAGCAACAGATTAGATACTGTTGTTAAAGATTTAGCTGAGAAATCATCAGGCGATAAACTTCAAGACCTTGAATGGAGATTTGGTCTAACTGCAGCTTCAAGCACAGGTGCAGGAACTCCATTTATTCAAATGCGTTTACAATTCGAAAATATCCAGCCTGTTTCTATCGAAATGGGCATGACCGAATTTTACGAATTCGCTGCTGATATTAAGCGAATTCAAGCTCAAATGTCAAATACTCTCAGCATCTAAACATTCAAGTATTATTTCTCTTTTTTTAATTACTATTATTATTTTATGCAAGGAACCAAAGCTTATGAGAATGAATTGTCCAAATAATTTAAGCAGATACAACTTTCTACAATTCCTATTGCTGATTATTCTGGCATCGATAAAATGAATTGTAGAAATGGGCATTTAGCATTAGATTTATAAGAACTCCAAATCTCCAGGTCGTATGAAAAGGGAGTTTTTTAGCTCCTGGCTCGAAGATTCGTTTTGAGCCCAAAAAGCCTCTGCTATTGGTGTTTCAGGAGCTGTCCAGCTCACTTTTGGAAGAACTGGAAGCCTTGAAGTGACACAGTAGTTGTAATCATCATAAAATCAGCTATAGTCCAAAAGGAAAGAAACTTCTGCTGATAGGGTTTCATGAGATCCATAGCTTCATTTTCATGGACTGAAAGCTTTGCAACTCCTGATGTGAAGATAGTATTTGCAAATCTTCAAAACATCAGAGACTCAAATGGGAAAAGAGTATAAGAAATCAACTTTGTGATCATATCTAATAAAAGGCGAGTTTTTTTAATATACAATAAAACCTCTATAATAATTTTTTATTTTCGAAATAATAAATAAAACTTATTTCAATAATGATTCAAGAAGATTTTGAGCAGCTTGTGCTGTTCCTTCTGATATTCCTTTCTTCACACCTCTATCCAATGCAGATCTTAGTATTTCTACTATATATTCTGCGTGCATCTGTTTAATTTCGTCAGGTAAATTAATAACAGACGAAACAATGTTTTCTGATTCAGCTTCAACCAAACATCTTGGAGCTAATGCAAGCATTTTCTCAATGAACTCTGATAAGTCAATTTGTGATCCACAAACCTTAATCAAAGTGAAGAGAAGTGAAATAGTTGCAGCAACAGTTGGCCAATAATACAACTGTCCTTCGTTTTCTGTTTCCAAGACATTTGATGCTACTTGTAACGCGTATTTGAGTTCATCAGGAGAGGCATGTCCTTGTACTTCAATTGCACATCGAATGGCAGCGATTGGATGTGGAGGACGTGTAAATTCAATGATGGTTAATGACTGGAAAAAGGCCGATTTTATGGCGGTTTTGTAAACTGGGGGAAGTTCACTTTGGTAAACCGCAAATAATTCAGTCAAAACACCGATACATTCTATTCTTAGATCAGGGTTTTCTTCCGTAGATTCAGTGTATTTCCAGAATTCTTCCAATGGGAAATCTGCTGGTCTGTACTGTGCCAATGTCGCGAAGAAGGAAAACACGGAATCCTTCAAGTCAACATCGTTGTTTTCTATCAAATTTTCTTCACCTTGGTCTTCCTCTGTTTCTGCTTCATCTTCACCTTGCATCGTTGTAGAGTGCTGGCAGAGTAATCCTCCTTCGAAGAAAGCAAAGCCATTCCTTATTGCGTCTTGAAGAGTGTCTTCATTTTCTTTGATAACAGTAGGAACTCCGTTTTTAAGTAGTTTTTCGAAACCTTTGAAACAAGTACAAACTAAGTTCTGCTTCTGAGATTGAAGTCCTTTGACCAAATGGCCAATCAACTTCTGTGGAACTTCATTCAAAGCAACAGAACAGCGAACAGCAAGTTTCAAAGCGATATTCGATACATCATCGTTATCAAAATCGACCAATCTCGCTGCAATTTTGGCCAACTGACTCATTGACGGCATTACAACGTCTTTGTGTCTTTTCACAAGTTCGGCCAAAAACTGACATGAAGCTTGTCTTGCGTCTACCATCGCTGATGTTTCATCTCCTGGAGTTCTGTCATCTGTATCGACATTAAGGAGGGAAATGGCCCTGTCGATGACGGTTGGAAGGGCATTGAGAAGCTCTGGAGTTTGATGAAGGGAAATATTACGAAATGCAAGGATGGAAGAACAGTAGAGTTGGATATCTTGGGTCTGTGTGCATGCCTCTACAAAGATATTGAGCGAATGGTCGTATATTTCTGTTGCAGATTGAGGAGCAAATTTTATTAAGGTTGAAAGTGCTTCTATGCCTGCTGATTGTATGAGTTGGTGTTCTTCTGATTGCATCTCGGCGGCTTCCATGATAATTGGGAGTACTGCCGGTGCAAAATGATAAGCTTCAGATCTTGCAGCGGAAATAAGGGCTGCAAGGCAGGAAATAATGAGATGTGTGTATGATGAGTTGAATTCCTTCGCATATGAGATTGTTTTCTCGAATAATGGCTCGAGATTTTCTATTGCAAGAGGAACAATGTATAAAAACTCAACAAGGAACGAAAATGCTGTGGTAATCAATGAAGGATCTTTATCAGCATTTGAATCTATTGAATTGATGACATCTTGTATGATTTGATTTGAAAAATCAGAAATTGGTTCTGAAACTCTTCCAATTAACTCCATAAGTACTGAAATACCGGCATCCTGGAAACAATGATGCTCATTTTCAAGTAAATTGACAGAAAACTCTGCAATATCTTTGAAATGAAGTGCAACAACAGTTGGAATGTATTCAATGAACGAAATAAGACCACAAGCAAAAGCAATGGAGAATTCTGGTGAATCTTCTTCAAAGTTGGCCCAAAATTCCTCGAAAAAGTCGTTTGGATCCATATATTCAACTAAAGTTTCAAGAAGAACAGTTGAAAAGAAGCAATTTCGCTGGTCCTCGAAACATTCGTTCTCTTCAAAGCATAATTTCGCTAAATGCAATGATAATGCGATACAATCTGGGAAAATTGACTCAAGCTGTTCCTGATAACGCTTTACACATGCGACAATAGGATCTATAAGTAAAACACGTGTGGATGCAGGTATTTCTTCGTTCTGAGCGTCAGCAAATAAAGGAGTTATTAAATCTTCTGGAGAACAAAACTCTGGAGCACTCTCTATGATACTAGATAAAGAGTTAATGAGATTGTTGATGTAAGAAGCGTTTGAATTCAATGCATTGTTGATACAATGATTTAATGCTTGGAAAAGAGGCAACATAGACTCTGGTTCAGCAGAGAGGAATGTAAACATGACTGTAAGTAACTCAGCGCCGAATTTAATTGCTCCTTCGTCTGATCCTTCGAAAACATTTTCAATTAATTGGCAAATTGGAATGAAAAAGGCACCAACAGCCTGGAAAGGTAAACTGTCGAAGCATGATGCAAGTGTCATGAAGTAATATTGAGGGTCGTTGTAAATTGATTCGATAAATTGCAAAAATGGAGACCAATCATCGAGTTCTGTCATGAAAATTGGATTCATTGAGTCTAGTAATAGGTTTCTGTTTCTCATATTTGTTTCCTTTGTTAATGCCTGAAGAAATAAATTTTTAATTTCTTCTTTGAATTGAGGATTTTCGACAATATTCGGCCAGTGCATTTTAATAGAGTCGTGTAATGCTGTGCACGATGCGCCACGTATTGTTGGTGATTGATTTGTCTGAATAATTTCAAAATATGCCAAAATCATATCAGGATTTGAATAATGTTCTTTGAGGGCTTCTGTTACCCTTTGAACATCTTCTGTCTTTGATGACTGATTCCCTAATACCTCAAATAGAGGCAATAATATTTCGGCCATCAAAGATTTTAAGTCCTCAAAATTTTGACATGTAAAAAAGATTTTGGATTTTGTCAAATTTTTATTGATTTATTAAAAAGTGACAAGAATTTTGTAAAAAAAAACAAGAGACAAAAATGTCTAATATCGAATTTGATCTTTACCACCTTTCCGCATTCACAACAGGAGCCACAAAAGAAGAAATTAACCCAGACTACCTCAAGCAGTCTGCTACAGATGCTTTTATTTCATTCTTCAAGGCATTAAAAGAGTGCGACCACGAATCTGATACAAAAGTTAAGCTTCCAAAGCCAACTGTTAGTATCCCTCGTGAGAAACCACTCCCAGCCGAGAAGCCAAAGACTCGTTGGGAGCAATTCGTTGAACAGAAAGGCCTTAAATTCCAAGAAAAAGAAAAGAAGGTTCTTGATGAAGATACAGGCGAATGGTGTCTCCGTTACGGTTACAAGCGTGCTAATGATCCATTAGCTAGGCCAATTATTGAAGTTCCAAATAATGAAAATGCAGAAGATCCATTTACAAAGCTCGCTCGCGAGAAAAAGGAACGTGTTGCAGAACAGAAGAAGCGCGAAGTCAGAAACAAGAAGCGTGCAGAACGCGCAATCAAAGAAGCAGCTGTCGTTGCTTCTCTCAAGGGTAACAAGAGGAAAGAACAGATTCAGCAGGCTCTTGATGCTGCTTCCCATCCAGGATCTTCTGCTTCTATGAACCAATTCAACAAAGTTAAGAATAAAGTCGGTATCTTTGAGGAAGGAAGCAGTGTTCCTAAGATATTCGACCGCAATAAAGGCCAGAAGCCAAAGTTAGGCAAGAAATAAAGTAATAGATTATCTAGAGTTTATTTTAAAAAATAATTTTTTTATTACCATAAAACCATCTAAAATCTATAGGTAAATCATCACAGAATATTAAGTTTAACTATTTCTAACTATTATTCTTCAATATTTTTAAAAATTATCAAATATTTTTCTTGAATTCTTTGATTTTGAGCAAGAGTTCTGAAGAGAAATGCAATATTTTTCTGAGGTGATCACATTTTATCATTCTTGATATTTACAAAAAGATGTGATAAATTTAGTAACGTCATTTCCAATAACAATTCGTCAGAAGTCGCCACGCCAAGTTCCTCATTTGGAAATTGAGACAAATAAGCAGTCTCTAGAGCCTAAATCACCAAGAAGTACTAAAAATATGTTCAAAGCAAGCTATTATTCGCCTAGACCAGAATATCAATCAATTTATCATCAAAATGATCAGAATTTTAACATGACACAGCAACCACCACCTATGTCTGCGCGTCCTCTTATGACTCTTCAAGAATTTATTAAAACTACAAGAACTCCAAACAAATTAATTTCGAAACCGTTAGTAAAGTCTGTTAGAATTCTTGATCCATCACTATTTACTACTCAAGAGGAATCGAGATCACTTGCTCAGACATTCGTTCGAAACTTTGCTGAAGAAGAAAATCAAATAACTCAGGCAACGATTATTCAAAATGCCTTCAGACAATCTCAATCAAGAAGACATTACAAGAAATTTATAAGAATTCGAATTTCTCAAAACAGAAAATTAATGAGATTATGTTTAATTGTGTGGAAGCTCTTTGGATTGAAAAATGTCTTACGCCTTCATCGTGTTTACGATCAATTTATTGATTTTCTGCCAAATCTTCCATACATCCCTCAAGGAAGAAAAATTTCTCCTTTCAGATACTTTTATACAAGTGGAGCACTCTTTTTACCTATTTCTTATTCGCATACAACCTTATACAAAATGGTTTTAATGTGCAATAAGCCTTCAATGACTAAGATTTTCAATTTATGGAAGAAAATTGCTCATGAAAGGCGTGTTGAATCAGATGCTCTCATCTTTGCAGAATCAATGAACAACAAAATGTTGAAATTTTCATCTGCTTTCCTTTGTTTCAAACTTTGGTATAATTTATATCAATACCACAAGATCAGAGATGATTCTAGCATTGTTAAACTACCTCAAATTACTATTTACGATCATGATACAATACCTGCATGGCTTGCAACACAAAATAAGTTGAATCAGAAACGAAAAATTCAATACGACGCAACAATTCATTACCAGACAGATGTTATCCGTCGTAGTTTAACAGCTTTGACGAAATTCACAAAGTTCCAGAAGAATTGGAACGAAATTGTTCCAAACCACGTCAAAAAAGAAAATCAGAAGATCAAAAAATCTGTTTTCAATGGTTGGATATCTTATGTCAACAAGAAGAAGAAGCAGAGAAACTTTATTCGCGAAATCATCAAAAGATGGTACAAGAGAACATACAAACATTCTTATTTCCAAACGATTGACACATTTTCAAGAAAAAGTGAAGTTACATTCAAACTATCTAAAGCTATTCATATCTGGTCATTCTATGCACGCCGTAGATCAATCAAATATCTGCACACGATGCTCAACATCCAGAAGAAACCTCTTGGTGCGTACATGTTAGTTTTTCTGATAAATGGCCAATTTGATTTAAGTTTTCATATTCTTTCTTTCAAACTTTGGCTGAACATCATCAGGAGACGTCGCTCATTCAAGAAGATGGTTGAATTCCACAACAATCTTTCTCATGAAACAGAATTAGCATTCGGAGCATTGACTATGTTGAGAAGTCCAGATGAAGGAGAAAATCTGTTTCCAAACGGAATCGGACTTTCTCTCGAACTCTCAATCGCAGCACAGAATGTCATCTGTAGAGGCGAAGACATAGTTTTCGCACACAAAGGAAAAGACATTGATAAATTCAAGATGAATCCATTGTCAAGATTCCTTTTGCTCGCAATCCACAAGAAAATCAATTTCGATGTTTTCTCAACATCTGTCGGTGAAGAAAAACCTAAATTTGAGAAACTTCGAAAAGAAGACGAACTTCGAGAACAAGTTCAAAAGAACACAAAGATACTTCGATCTAGGTTGTTATGGAAACTCCACAGAGACAACACATTGATCACAGCGATTTCTGCACACACATTCGCTCAGGAATACAACAGATTTATTCCAGAATTCAGAGTCACACAAGAAGCGAACTTGTTTGCTAAAAATGACTGGATCGAACCAATGAAAGATGATGTTTTCGTTTTCGACGACTTCAAAGTATCAGTTGAGAGTCTTGTTCGTGCACTGGATGTAACAAGGAAGAAGGCAAAGCAGCAGATGCTTACAGACGAAAGAGACCGAATAATGAAAGAACTGAACGAAAGAGTCCGAAATCCAAATAATATTTCATTTAAAGAACATGAAAAAGAAACAGTCATCAACAATCAAATTGCAGTTCATACACCTGCAATGCCTCCAACTCCTCTCAAATCTCCTCGATTCAAGAAAAATTGATTTTGTTATTTTATTTTTATTTTGTTTTTATTTTTAAACTGTTATCTATATAGATAATTTCTGTATGAAACTTAAAAAATGTTTAAAAATTTGTTCTTTTCAATCAATTTTAACGTATAAATTTTAGGAAATCTTTCATTTTGGGTTTAAAATCCTTGTCTGCCTGCATCATTAGCGAATTATATAGACTGTCATCATTGAGATTTGCCTTAAATCTTCTTAAAATGTAAGTTGAAATTTCATATTTGTTATCTATTGCATTATGAAGTGCAGTAAAGTTAATATTTGGTAAAGAGAAAATAAATTTAACTAATTCGAAATCCCTGCTACTTGCAGCAGTATGAAAGATTGTTTCGCCTTTGATATTCCTTGCATTTATATCAATATTTGGAAGAGAGCAGAGATATTTAATTATTTCAATATTTGGATTTCTTATTGCATAATGAATTGGAGTTTCTAAATCACGATTTTTAGCATTTACATCAACATTTGGGAGAGAGTAAACATATTTAATTACATTAAGATTTTTGGCTCTTGTTGCATAATGAAGGACTGTGTTTTTCGAGGAATCTTTTGCATTAATTTGAATATTTGGATAAGAGCAAAGACTTTTAATATAATCTAAATTTGTATATAGTGCAGTATAATGTATTGCATGTATTCCTTTGCTATTAGCTTGGTTAACATCAATATTTGGAAGAGAACAGAGAAATTTGATTACTTCTGGGTTATTATTTTGCATTACATAATGAATAGCTGCATTTCCTTCCCAATCTTTTGCATTGACATCAACATTCGGTAATGAACAAATGAGTTTGATAAATTCGGGATTTCCACTTCTAGCTGCATAATGTATTGCACACTTTCTTTCATCATCTTTTGCGTTGATGTCAATGCTTGGAAGTGAACATAGATAGTTTGCAGCTTTAAAAATATTATTTTTAACAACAAAATGAAGTGTAGTTTCATTTTTTGAATTTGTTGAATTAATATTAACATTTGGAACAGAACAAACTAATCTCAAAATTTCGAGATTTGGATTTGCTGCAGCAATATGAAAAACTGATCCAAGTTTGTCAAGAATATTAAAATCAGGTTTAGATGTTGATAAAATACTTTTGATGATCTCTGGATTTTGATTTTTAGCTGCAATATGGAGAGCAGTTTCGTTGTTTTTGTTTTTAATGTTAAAATCAATGCTTTGAATGGAACATAAATATTTAATAAATTGTGGGTTTTCATATTGCGCAGCAATGTGTAAAATTGTGTTTCCGTCGCTATCTTGTGCATTAATATTTAATTTTGGAATAGCGCAAAAATCTCTTAAAAGATCAAGATTTTGCTTTCGGAAAACATAATGAATTAATGGAATGCCATATTCATTAATGATATCGCAATATCCAAATTCTCCTGCAAATTCAATTGCTTCATTATCACCTTCTTTTATCGCATTTAATATGATATTATAAATCTTATCAAAGTCATCTGATTTTTTATAGCAATTCAATAAATATTTTTTGTAATTCTGTTTCTTTTGATTGCTTATAATATTGTTGATTTTAATGAATGAAACAATATCACTAAGAATACGATTGTTGAAAATTTTTGATAAAAATTCGAGAATTTTAATTATGGCATCACCGTTTTCGAAATTATCGATTTTGGTGTGTTGACAAATCCAGAAGACATCTGAATATTTGAAATTCTTGCTGATGATTGAAAAAGTTTCAAGAAATTGTTGTGAACTAAAAGAACAATAATCAAAGATCATACATAGTTCTGATGCTGTCCTTAATCCAAGAAATTCTTCGTCATTATACCATTGATCTATATTTTTTGCATATGACTCAAAATCAATTGAACTCATTATAAAGAAAAATAAAAGTGACATTACAAAGTCAAAAACATATCTCAATTCAGAAGAGTATATAAAGAGTTAATCTATTATAAAAGATAATTGAATTATTGAAGCTTTATGGACTGTTGTCAAATTTCTTTCTGAATTATGAAAAACAAAGTTTACATAGGAGTGTGGGACAAACTATCCAGTGTCACTTTTTATTAACCTTATTTTAAAAAATTAATAAAATAATAATAAAAAATTATTTGAATCTTTTACATTAATTGCTTCTTTTTTAAAAGTACCTTTAAAGTACAATAAACAAGATTTGAATCTATTGATCCTTGTTGCAAACTTGAATATATTGCTTCAAGCATTTTTGAGAGTAGCCCATGCTAGCTTTTATCTCTTCTTGGATACCAAACTGGAGGAGCTCCATAGTGTTGAATATCACGGGCTCCATACAACAAATTGAATAAGGTATTTCAAAATTTGAAGGAAATGGTCCATCATTGAATGTAGTGGCCGGGAATTGAATGACATACAGATAGTTTGAGGAAATTTGTTATAAATTATAATATAATTGAAGAATTAATTATCAAAACAAGTCTAAGAGCCATTTGTCAGATTTTCCCGAAATGCAAGGTTAAGATTTTAGCAGCGACTAACTTTGAGTGTACATATATAATTGTTATACTGAGTACTTTCTATCTGTGTTACTTATTTGAGTCTAAGAGCCATTTGTCAGATTTTCCCGAAATGCAAGGTTAAGATTTTAGCAGCGACTAACTTTGAGTGTACATATATAATTGTTATACTGAGTACTTTCTATCTGTGTTACTTATTTGAGTCTAAGAGCCATTTGTCAGATTTTCCCGAAATGCAAGGTTAAGATTTTAGCAGCGACTAACTTTGAGTGTACATATATAATTGTTATACTGAGTACTTTCTATCTGTGTTACTTATTTGAGTCTAAGAGCCATTTGTCAGATTTTCCCGAAATGCAAGGTTAAGATTTTAGCAGCGACTAACTTTGAGTGTACATATATAATTGTTATACTGAGTACTTTCTATCTGTGTTACTTATTTGAGTCTAAGAGCCATTTGTCAGATTTTCCCGAAATGCAAGGTTAAGATTTTAGCAGCGACTAACTTTGAGTGTACATATATAATTGTTATACTGAGTACTTTCTATCTGTGTTACTTATTTGAGTCTAAGAGTCATTTCTACCATAGAACTAGATATTGTCTCTCATTAAATATATATAACTGTAAACTGCTTAATTCATTTATCTATTTAGATAAAATTATATTTATATAAGATTTCATGTTATTATTTCATCTTTATTATTTTTTTTATTCCTTTGAAAAGTGACACTGGATAGTTTGTCCCTTTCTCGTTTACATAGTATATATACTTTAATATTATTCTTGGATACATCCTTTAAAGTTGATCTTTGATATATTTTGATAACAAAATAAATGAAAAATAGAAAATAATCTCAGGCGAAATTAACATTATCATTTGTTTCAAGCTTTGATATAATTTATATCAATATCACAAGATCAGGTACGATTCCATCATCGTTAAACTGCCTAAATTACATAGTACATCATATGTAATTTCCGACAACTTTTGCATATGTTTCCTGCAGCAATGGCGTATTACTTGGTATTCAATTCAAGCCTTAAAAGGTAATTTCCAATGATGTGTCATGGCAAATGTAAGAAAATTGAATGAGAGTCTAATGATCGCAAATGTAACCTAAGGATTTAATCAAAAAAAATTGAATAATTTGATATTTTAAATATCAATTATAAAGTATAGAATTTAAGTAATCGATCATTTTTTTGTTATGTCTTCTATTTGCCATGTCCATAAGTGAATCAAATAGTCTTTCGTCATATAGATTTTCCTTCATTTTGTTGTAAATGTAGTTTATAACTTCAAAATTCTTGTTATTAAATGCATAATGAAGAACGGTTCGTTCATCTTTTGTAGTTGCATTTAGATCAATATTTGGAAGAGAGAAAATAAATTTGACTAATTCTATATCTTGTTCAGTGGCAACTTCATGGATAATAGTTCTACCATTAAAACCTTTTGAATTTACATCAATATTTGGAAGAGAACATAGATATTTTATTACATCAATATTTGTATTTTTGAGTCCATAATGAAGAGTAGTTGTTAAATATTTGTTTCTAGCATTTATGTCAATATTTGGGAGAGAGCAGACATATAAAACTACATCTAGATTACTATTTTGTGCTGCATAATGAAGGACTGTATTTTCAGAGGAATCTTTTACATCGAGTTGAATATTTGGATAAGAACAAAGACTTTTAATGCATTCTATATTTTCATTTTGAGCAGCATAATGAATTGGATATATTCCTTTGCTATTAGCTTGGTTAATATCAAAATATTGGAGAGAGTAAAGATATTTTATTACTTCAGGATTTCTATTTTGAACTGCAAGATGCAGGACTGTATTTTTGTCGGAATCTGTTACATCGAGTTGTATATTCGGATAAGAACAAATACTTTTAATGCATTCTACATTTTCATTTTGAGCAGCGTAATGAATTGCATTTTTTCCAAAATCATTAGTTTGGTTAATATCGATATCTGGAAGAGAGCAAAGATATTTTATTACTTCAGGATAATAATTTTGAGCTGCAAGATGAAGAATTGTGTTTTTGTTGGGATCTTTTACATCGAGTTGAATATTTGGATAAGAACAAAGACTTTTAATGCATTCTATATTTTCATTTTGAGCAGCGTAATGAATTGCATTTTTTCCAAAATCATTAGTTTGGTTAATATCGATATCTGGAAGAGAGCAAAGATATTTTATTACTTCAGGATAATAATTTTGAGCTGCAAGATGAATGGCTGAATTTGCATCGGCATCAGTTGCATTGATATCAACTTGTGGAAATGAGCAAATAAGTTTGATGAACTCAGGATTATCATTTCGAGCTGCATAATGAATTACACTATTTCTTTCAGAATCTTTTGTATTTATATCAATGTTTGGAAATGAACATAAATATTTTACGGCTTCAAAAGTTTGAAATTGAGCAGCCAACAGAAGTGGAGTTTCACCAAAAGAGTTTGTAGCATTTATATCGGCATTTGAAACAGAACAAACTACTTTCAAAATTTCTGGATTATTTTTTGTTGCAGCAATATGTAATGCTGTTTTTCTATATTTATTTCGCGCATTGATGTCTATGTTTGGTATAGCACAAAATCCTTTTATAACATCAATGTTTTGTTTTTCTAGAACATAATGAATTAATGGAGTGCCATAACCATCACTGATATTGCAATATCCAAATTCTCCTGCAAATTCAATTGCTTCATTATCACCTTCTTTTATCGCATTTAATATGATATTATAAATCTTATCAAAGTCATCTGATTTTTTATAGCAATTCAATAAATATTTTTTGTAATTCTGTTTCTTTTGATTGCTTATAATATTGTTGATTTTAATGAATGAAACAATATCACTAAGAATACGATTGTTGAAAATTTTTGATAAAAATTCGAGAATTTTAATTATGGCATCACCGTTTTCGAAATTATCGATTTTGGTGTGTTGACAAATCCAGAAGACATCTGAATATTTGAAATTCTTGCTGATGATTGAAAAAGTTTCAAGAAATTGTTGTGAACTAAAAGAACAATAATCAAAGATCATACATAGTTCTGATGCTGTCCTTAATCCAAGAAATTCTTCGTCATTATACCATTGATCTATATTTTTTGCATATGACTCAAAATCAATTGAACTCATTATAAAGAAAAATAAAAGTGACATTACAAAGTCAAAAACATATCTCAATTTAGAAGAGTACGTAGCTATTTAATTAATCATGGATAATAGCAAAGGTATTAAATCATTATGAACTATTAAATAAATTCTTTCTGAATTATGAAAAACAAGGTTTCAAAATAGAATGTTGTATGCAGATGGAAAACTTAATTTGCGGCATCATAGGAAATGCCAATCTGAATTTTAAAACTTGCAATTCTAATTGATCTTAATGTTCCTTACTTCGTTCTGAAAATTCAATTTAATAATTTTTCATTTTAAATATTTATAGTAAATAACATAACAAATTTATAATATCATATGAATTTGGATATATATCTGAGATAACTAGGAAACAAAACGCCTAAAAAAAGAAAACAACTAATCTCAGAAAATTCCAGAAGAAACCAACACATTAAATGATTGTTGGCTAGGATCAACTTTAGGTTTCGTTTTAACTGCTTGCATTTTGAATGATTTTGGCATTGCTGCTGTTTTTTCAAAATGTTTTGAAATATCAACAACAGCTGTAGCATTCTTAACTAGGAAGTCGGCTTCTGCTTCTGTTTGAATGTTCTTCTTTACAAGATCAAAAGAATTTAATTCTGCTTTTCTCGATTCATATAAATCTTCAAGTTCTGATTTGTGTCTTTGTGACATTTCATCTGAAATGCGCTGATATTTCTCATCAATTTTCTTCTTGTATTCTGCATCAGAAATATCTCGCTTTTGAGTTGCCAAATCACGTAATTGAATTGCTTCTTGTACTTTATTTTGTCTTGCCAATATTTTGGCAGTTGACATAGCTCTGTGGTATTCTGTATTTGTAAAATCTTCGTGACAATTTCGTTCATTCTGCCATTCCTCGATTAAGTCATCTAATTCTTTTTGCTGACGATTTTTGAGCTCATTGTAGTTATTTTTGAAGGAAATTGCTGCTTTTCGTTTTGCAATTTTCAATTGTTGATCAGATATTTCATATGTGGTAACGAAGTTTTTATTATCTTTGAGATTTTGTTGGAGATATGAATTTACTTTTCCGCCAAGTTTCAATACTGATTCATAATTTCTTAAAGATTCGTATTCTTTTTGATAATAGTCAATCATTTCGAAATTTCCTGCTTCAATGCACTGATCGATAAAATTCATGGCCTCTTGAGATGTCCTTGGCTTTGGATACTCAGAAACATCCATTTTCAATACGTTTAGAATAAAGATGAAGTGGAAATTGGATCTTATAACATTGCTTACCAATGTCAAGGGAGCTTCTTTTCACTTTTTGCTTCATTAAATTTGTGTATTATTGATATATTTCATATAAAAATCTAAAATAACTGGAAATCTATTTATAATATGACCATAAATAACTTACGCATGAGCTTTGTATTGACATATTTTCTTTCTGATACGAGCATCTCATTTTCATTCATCATCTCGGAGAGACTAACTTTGCTAAGAGTATGTCATCTAAAGTGCTATCATTCATTTTACTGAATAAACCCACGATCTCTCCTTTGAATTATACTGTTTGGATCCGTTTTGAAAGATTCTTATTACAAATTTCTCCCAATTGAGGATGTTTGATATTGTAATTATTCGATAATATAGAAAATGATAATAATAAGATATGATAATGAGTCCAAATCTATCATCCAAGATGCAATAAACGTCTCAGGAAAAGTTTTTACTCTCAAATACCCATGTAACACATCAGATTGCACGCCGTATGCAGTTACATTCAAACCTGGAGTGTACAAGATAGAGCTTTGGGGTGCCTCAGGCGGATTCCTAAATAATCTTGGTGCACATGGCTCATACACTAGTGGTCTCCTCCCTATATTCCGTACACGGACATTTTATATATACCTTGGCCAGAAAGGAGAATGGTTAGGTCCACCAACTTATAATGGTGGTGGTGCAGGTCCATACTTGCCAAGAGAACCAACGCACTATGTGTCAATTGGTTCAGGCGGTGGATCTAGCGATATACGCCTCATCAATGGTCATTGGTCCTCATTTGAAAGTTTGAAATCTCGTATTAGTGTTGCAGCTGGTGGCGCTGGGCATGCATACTTTAGTGAAATCATAGAAGGTGGTGCAGGTGGAGTCTTAGAAGGTTATAATGGCACCATGCGCTCTGTTGACTATATATATCCAATCACAAACTCCACATCTGGAACTCAAACTTCACCAGGTATCGGTTCTAGTAATGGCGGAAGAAATGGTGGATTTTGTTTCGGCGGCAACTGTGGTGACGATCGCCATGGAAGTGGTGGTGGCAGCGGCTACTATGGGGGAGGAAGCGGTGGCTTTGTCGGAAACCGCGTGACAAGTGGTTCTGGAGGATCTTCGTATATGTCAGGATACAAAGGCTGCAGAGCTATCGCAAAAGATTCTACAAAGTTTAATATATTTCATGAAGATAGTTCAATTCATTACTCAGGTTTGACATTCTATTCTCCTGTCATCAAAGATGGAAAGGACCTAATTCTATGCACAGATTCCATTGTATGCACAGAAGAAGGTCACTTTGGTTATGGATATGCACGCATAACTATCTATGAGCAGCATGATCCAGTAACTATCAGATTATGTCGTCCATTTGTGCCTTATTCATCAATTGCAGTCTTTATACTGATGAATTCTGAATAAAATTTAAACAAAGGACAATTTTTGTTCGATGTTTAAGCTAGACTTTGTCTGATGTGTGATCAAGAACTGCTATTACCAGTGAGATTTTTGAAATACAACTCAAAAAACCGATTTTTGATTAGTTGTTTCTCAATCTAATAAAATCATATGAAAAATTAGACTCATTATAATCACCACGTTTTATATTTGGAGAAATATGATATTTCGAATTGAGTGATTGTCACATTTTGTAAAATAAATATGTCAGTTTTATTGGGAAATGTTTCTTTTTTTGGTATCTCTTTATGGCGAATTTAAGCCAGAATACTTCTCAGAAAGGTATAGGATGCATTTTAACCTAGACTCTATGAAATTTAAGTGTTTTAATGAAAATAAAGAGATTTCGATTGATGATATTGACGATGGAATTTGTAATTGCTGTGATGGATCTGATGAAGTTTCAAATACATCATTTTCATGTCCAAATACATGCCCGATTCATGTCAAAAACTCAGAAGCAAATGAATTAAAAGGAATTTTCAACAAAGGCATTGTTAACAGAGTTGTTCTCGGTGCCCAAGGACAACAATTATATCATGAATTATCCGAATTAAACAAAATTCAAACACAAAAACGCGATGAACTTTCAGCAACATTAAAAGAAGCGAGAGCACAATTAAAGAAGCAAAAGAAAGATATTAAGAAGTGGGTTTACGAATCTAATGGTCTTCCAATGCCAGACAAAGCCAAACTCGCTGCTGAAAGAGAAAAATACATAAATCGTGTCGAAAAAGTCGCTTACAGACAAGATGCCGCCGAAGAAGAGGAAGGAGAAGGATTTGAAGTCCCACAGATTGATCAAGAAGCATTCAAGAAGAGAAAACAACATCGTGCATTGAAATGGGATTATGCGCAGAAAGAAAAGTACATTAACTTGTTAAATACAGCCATTGATAAGACAAAAATCACTGAATCTTCAGGAAATGTCTTTCTTGCAAAGCTTCGTGTAGCAGAAACCGTAAAATATCATCCAACATACCAGGCATACTTAGATACACAAAAAATTGTTCACGATACTTCAGATGAACTCTCAAAAATCGGAAATTCCGTTTACATGAACAATTTAAGACTTGAAATCGATTATGGAGCAGATAAACAATGGTATCAGTCCTATGGAAAGACATTAACAGCTCCAATAGCCAATACTCCTAACAAAGTAAGTATTTCTTTACTCCAGAGAGCTTCAGTTCGTCTTCCTTCGACTGGATGCTCAAGATCTAACGATTACGGTGCTTATATCAAGAGAATTAACAATATCTTGGTTTACCAGGCCGAACATGTTGATGTTTTCAAGGGTCAGCGCTCAATGAGAGTGAAATGTCTCTGCCATCCAGAATATGTCGTTTTGGAAGCGCACGAAAACACAGATAACCGCGCGGAAGCTGTTATTGGACTCCCAGAGGTATGCCCTGCACAGTATAGTGACAATGAATTCACTCAATGGCTCAGAGAAATTCAATATTACAAGAGCGACCTCTTGAAAGGAACGGAATTTGAATATTTATAAAGTATCTTTTGGTAAATAATAAATTTTGAGTTTAGGTTTATATGATTCTAATAAGTTTTTATATTTTCAATAAAAAATTTAAGAAATTGTAATGATTTCTAGATACATCTTATTAAAATGATTTCACTATGATTTAATTTGGACGATATTACAACATTCATTGTTAAAAATCATAAATTATTATGAAACAAGATTTATTTATCTTAATCTCGATATTTCACATTGCTAACTAGCATGTCTTCCTTTGAAATATTACTTAGCAACTTCATTTCGTATAATAATATTGTTAGATATTGATTTTTGAAAAAATTCTTCATAATGTTATGATAAGAGCGGTTGAATATAAAATAAAGAAATATAACATATATTTTACAATTGAATTAACATGGGGAATAAATAAAAAAAATAATATAAAAAAAATTATTTGATTTCTGTGATGAAAGAAGCCAATCCTATTGCAAACATTGATAGTGGTTCAAGAGGAAAAGCAGCCTGGAGCTCTATTACCTCGTTAGCTATCTTTCTTATCCAGAATAAATCAGGATCTCCTTTTTTCTCAAAGAGAACAGCATTTTTGACAGACTGAATGTGAAAACGGCCATTAAAGTTATATGTCAAATGGCCTTGAACGGATTCTGTCGGTTGTCTACTGAATAATTTTGCAGGATTTCCTTCTTTTTTGATGAAAAAGGAGACACTCATACGGCGAGCAAGGTTTTTGCCCTCTTTCGGATAGAAACGAATCGAGAGAACTTCATCTCCTGTTTTTGAACCTAATCTCAATGAAAAATCTTGTGTTTTGTTGCCAATCGATATGCATGCATCAACATCTGAACTTCCCTCTTTAATAATATTAATAGTATCAGCTCCTTTTTTGTAAATCGCAGATAAAATAAATTCGCTGAGCATGTAAAATCGAAATGTGTACGTAGCTCCGAGTAATCCGGTCTTCTTTTCTCTGGATATCCTATACATTGGTTGTTCTTTTGCTTTGCTATCGGATATTGAAGGTCTTGGAACATAAATTAATAATTCTGGCTGTTGAACCCGTTTGATTTCATTGGTTTGGTTTTCTTGTGGTTTTTGTTCTTTTTGGTCTGTTTTAACTTCGTTTTCTATGTTTGGTTTGGTCGACTCGTTTTCGGTATTTACCTGTGGCGATGTAGAGTTTTGAACTTGTTGATGTGGACTACTTCCTCTAACTTGCCGCCTCGAATGAGGTTGTGCAGTTTGTTGAGGATGATTTGTAACTTGAAATGAAATTTTTTCTTCATTTGATTCGTTTTTATCCTCCGATTCGGATGTATGCTGTTGAATATGTTCGGGAGTATATGAGTCATCGGAGCTATCTGCATCTTCAAAGGTAATAATTTCTTTTTTTCTTGTTCTGCGATTTTCAGATGCCTTTGCAGGCTGTTCTGTAAGCACCTCTGGCTTGTATTCAACAACTTTCTTCTCGACTTTTGTTGCATCTTTGCCATTTCGCATACGTCTTGTTGATCTATTTGTTTCTTGAAGGTATTTTGGCTTAGCTTTCTCATCAGGGACATTGAATTTGGGTTTAAATGGTGTCGCATTCTGGAAATTCTTATTGCCATCTTCGTCATCTGATGAGAAGTCAACAATGTAAAGAGACATTATCAAATTCTAATTTTTCGCTAGCATATGATAATTTCTGATAATAAACTAATATAAAAGAATTAGGTTTTCAAATGTTCGCTTTTCTCAAGAAGAAAAAAAAAATTATTCGACCAGAAATATAATAGTTAGAAAAAGAATTATAACAATTTATTAAACAATATCAAAATGTAATTTATCGGTTCCAGATGGCGTGTTTTCGCCAACTAATGTAGTTGATGATGGGAAAATGTAAGTTTGATAAATAATACAATATCCAGTGATAGCCCATACGAAGAAGATGGAAAAGATGACTATACATGCGTGATTCGAGCGTGCATTTATATAATTCGTAATAATCGCTAATTTTTGATCGTTACTGTATTGCTTGAAGTTCAATTTGGCAGCAATCCATTGGGCTTCAATTGTATTAGGATTATCCATTAAAAAGGTGTGGAACTTGAAAATGCAATTATCAACGTATTTCTTTCCGCTATATAAGAAAGCAAACGCGATGCATGTTCCTAATGCTATTGTCATGAATATTAGTGATAAGGATAAGAAAAATGACTTGTATTTTGGTTGAAAGTTATAATACAATGCAATCATACCAATTAAAGTAAAGATGTATGATGTAGTTATTATGACTGCTAAGATTCCTGGAACTATATCAATTATTGGGAAGAATTTATCAAGAGCGCAATAAGACAAAGAAACTGAATAAGGTAAGCCCATTAATGTAAATAATAGGAAAACCCACATTACATAGCGCATTGGCTGTTTGTTTGGATCTTTAATTCCGAAATTTAAATCAATTTTTCTCATTTCTTATAATTGTCACGTTTTTGTGAATCAGGAATATGATTTTTTGAAATTATATGATATTAATGCTCAGGTGATTGTGTGTTCTTTATTATGAATTTTTGGAATAAAATTTCATAGAATTCGAACCAAATGAATCGAAGAATGATATTCAATCAATAACACGCTTATAATCTCATACACTTTCCTAATTGGTCATCATATTAGTGCTCATATCAAATATCTTCCATCTGCACAAGTTCCACCAAAACTCTTTACAAACGCACGCACTAGACCTAAGAAGATCATGATCAATTACCAAAGAAATAGTTCGCATTAAAATTAGCTCACCAAGAAAAGAAGATAAAGGCTGCCTTAGAAGCAGCTGGTATCAAATGTGAATGGCCCTCATTTATAGCTCAATTTGATGCTAATGGAGTTGCTATTCCTGATGAAGATCCAAAAGCTAAGAAAACAGAATAAATTCACTACTATAGAGAATATAAAGGTTATAATATTTATTAAAAATACATTGTATATTTTGATATATATAAAACTCATATACCTATATTGAACATTTTTAACAATCTATATTTGCTCCATGTAAAAGAAGAAGTTCAACGATTTCTTTAAAATTATATTTGTCTGCAAGATGAAGAGGAGATTCTCCATATTTATCTTTTTCATTGATATTTGCACCATGAGAAAGAAGAAATTCACACATTTCCTTACTATTATTATGTACTGCAAAATGAAGAGCTGTTTCTCCAAATTCATTTTTTTCATTGACATTTGCACCATGTGAAAGAAGAAGCTCAACGATTTCTTTATAATTATTACGGGCTGCAAGATGAAGAGGAGTTTCCTCCTCTTCATATTTTTCATTGATATTTACACCATGCAAAAGGAGAAGTTCAACTACATCATTTTCATTTTGTATTACTGCATAATAAAGAGCGGATTCTCTATTTATATCTTTTTCATTGATACTTGCTCCATGTAAAATGAAATATTCACAAAGAGATGGCAGATTAAATATTGCTGAATAAATAAAACATTTGTTAATATTATTGGTTTGATCGAAATAAACTAAAAATGGTTCAAGATTATTGTAAATCCCGCAATTAATTAAATCGATATCCATATAGTACTCTTCCATCAAGAATGTAACAAAATCAATATTATGTGAAATAATTGCATACTCCATACACTGTTCATCTGGTTTTTGATATTTCAAACATTCGCTCATGATCTCTGGATTTCCTCCTAAAAATGAAAATCTGAGACATTGAGAAGTTATTTCCGATTCATAATTTGTTCTTAAGAACTTGAAACAATCTATTGCCCCGTGGTAACAACATAATTCAAGTAATAAATATCCTGTACTAGAATATGGATATAAATCACTTATAAGTTGTTGATCTTGATCAAATTCTTCGCTTTCTGTAATTGAAATGAATCTTTTTAAGTCATTATCCATAATTGCCTTGTAAATTGTATTTTCAGAATGAATATTGATATTTTTTAAATTAATTTTTTTGAAATCAGCAGATTTGTCTAATTTAATACCATATTCTTTATAAAACATGTAGTTAGATATATCTGGAATCGGCTTGACATCTTTCACATCATAGTCATCAGATATCAGTTTGGCAAGCTCCAGGTATGAGTTTGTATATCTGTTATTAAACGGTATTATACCTAAAATATCACATATAATAGTTTGAGGAAGATGTTTCTTTGAATCCAGCAAATTTGTTTTTATCATTTTGTAAATCTTGCTTAAATCTTCTTCATTCTTCGTTTTTAACTGATACAATGCAATATATGTATCGATGTGGTATTGAAACAAGCTTCTCAATTCAACATATTTAATGTTTTCCATTTATTTCCATTAAAAAAATGTCAAATCTGACAAATTTGGGTATTGTCACAAATTTATTGGGTGTTTTGGTTCAAAACTACAAAATTGTAATGAAGTTTCGTCAAGCTGATCAAAGATAAATAATTTCTTGCATTGCTATTCCCGTGATCAAAGCATGTTTTCCCTTCATTGTCCTTTGCATTTTTATCAGCTCCAAGAGAGATATGGCATTTGACCACTTCATGACAGTCAAGTTTTGATGCAATAATAAGCAAAGTCATTCCTTTTTCATCCTTTGCTTCTTTATCAGCTCCAAGCGAGATAAGATATTTGGCAACCTCAAGATGACCACTAAATGATGCCAAAATGAGTGAAATATATCCAGAAATATTCTTTGTTTCTTTATCAGCTCCAAGCGAGATAAGATATTTAACAACCTCAAGATGACCACTAAATGATGCCAAAATGAGTGGAAAACAATCATAATTATTCTTTACATCTTTATCCGCACCAATAGAAATTAGATATTTAACAACTTCAAGTTTACATTTTAATGATGCCAAAATGAGTGGAGTATTTCCATTATTATCCTTAGCATCTTTATCAGCTCCAACAGAAATTAGATATTTCACTACTTCAAGTTGACCATATTGTGATGCAAGCATGAATGGAGTACATCCATCTTTATCCTTTACTTCTTTATCGCAGTTGCATTCGATGAGAGATTTGACAAGTCTAAGATTTCCTTGTAAACTTGAAATATGAAGTGCATTTTTATCATATTCTGTGGCCTTTTTCCAAAGTCCTTCTTCACAAGACTTTGACATCATATCACGATCTCTTTTACCAGAAAGTTCATCAAGAAATTTGTAAACAATTTCAACATCATTGGAATCCTTAAGTTCAGAGATTTCGTTTAAAAACTCTTTCGAATATTTGTGAGCTTCACTAATTTGAGTGAAAATTGAACTGTTTTAGCTCATTGTTATTCATGAAAACCTTGTTCTATGAGAGGAGAGCTAAAACGCACATTCGACATCAGTCTATTGAAAACATATGATACATGACTTGTATTTTCGAATGTAGGTTTATGAATATTTATGGAAACCATATCTTTAGATATTGAAATTAAAAAGTGTTTCTATTTTATATTTTTGAAAGTTTGGTATTAATTAAGCTGAGTCACTGTCAGACATTCGATTATTTTTCTTGTGACAATTTCTAATGTCAATTGCAAGTTATGTTGGTCGTTCAATTTTTATTCTAACAAACAGAAGAGGTAATTGTTATGACAAAAGATGCAACGGTATTCACAGGGCCGCTTGTTTGTAGCGATCAGGTAATGAATCTTGTATTATTCCCTGGAAAAATGAAAAATAAAGATGGAGGGTATGTCGAAACGCCACAGGAGCAGTACTGTTATATTAGAGGTGAAGATGTATCATTTGTTATTTTAAGCCAAGAAAATTCTATCAATCGCGTAGCTAATTTTGATCCAAAAGACCCTGACAAAGATCTTTAACTTATACATCAAATTTTCCTACTACGTTAACTTCGATTTTTTCAAAAAACAAATTTTGAATTACCGAAAGTTTAATAGAAATGGCCATAATCTAATTCATTTTAATTTCCTGTCTTGCAAGTTCACATTGCCTTGATTTTTCTCAATATATTTCAAAAAATTCATCTTGTATCAAATTTTTTCCTTCAAATCTTTTTCTTTTCTCAAAAAAAATCGCATTACAATTCTTGGAAGTTACAAGAACCTATAATATTTTCTATTTTAGTGGATCTAAAATAGAAAATATTAAAATTCGCTACTCACAGGCACTAGTGCTATGAACCAGTTTTGAACCTTTATGAATAAAGTTACTTTATACGATTTTGATTATTTATTGATAGATGAAATTCCAAGAAAAATATTGATAAAAAAATATAACATACTTTATTAAGAATTACTGATTCGGCTTTGTTACGCTCTCTGTGATTTGGAGCATAACCTTATCAGCTTCTTCCTTGAGATGAAAAGATAATTTAGTAATTTCTTCTGAAGAAGTCTTTGTAGCATTACCATATAATGTATAGGCTTGAGACATTCTGCGAGCTCTGAAGCTATTGAATCTTCTTTTCTCTTCAATAAATAATTGAAGTTGGCATTTTAAGTTTTCAAGTGCTTCTGCTTTTTCTTTTTTGTATTTTTCGAGTGTAACTTCTAACTTTTCTTGTTTCGATGGATCTTTTTGTAATTCTATTTGCATTTTTGTCATAAAATTAGCAAGATTTTCTCCGGCTTGATTGTAGCTGGTAATTGCAGATTCGTATTTTTGAGATTGTCTAACAACAACAAGAAATCTCTCTGTAATATCGTTAATATCTTCAATTGAGCGCTGTTGTTGTTTAACATAATTTACTTCTTGATTAAGAAGTTGTTGATGAATTTGTTTAAGTCTATCATAGAGTTCTGAGCACTCTGGGGCTTCTTTACTAATCATATTTTCGAGTTTTCCTGAAACAGATTTTTCAAGTTCTAAACTCTGCATATGGTAATCATTGAATTGGCGTGTAGCATCGATAACTGCTTTAAGATTAGATGTGATTTGATCTTTATGGGTACTCACTTTATAACTCTCGATCATGTCGAAGACAAACATTTTTCAAAAATGCATGATTTTGATGTAATTATTGAACCGCTCATTATCCTTTTTGACTTACATGTCATATCTATCTGAAAATATTGGCAAAGTGGATTTGGTCACTCAAAATTTTATTGAGCAAAGTATGAAAATCGATGCACAAAGAGGTAGCTGGTTGAATTCATAATCATTACTGTCGATGTTCAGCAAGTGGCAAAAATATCATAAAGAAAAATTGTCTGTATTATGCTCATCTGAACTTGATTACCCATTAATCTTATAGTGCAAGTTATCTGTATGTTTTTCATGTCAACAACTTATGTTAATAATCAATTTCAGATATTGATATCAAAAATCTTTAAAAACTATCGAACCAAAAGTACATTAAGTTGTTTTAATGTTGTTCAATCATTAAATCAAATGAATTAATATTGATCTAAATTTGATACAAAATAACTCATGAGGCGCTTAAAAATTACTATAATCATATTGTGCGTGAAAAAGTTAGCTAGAGTATCTTATAAGAATTCATAGTTTTATAAATGTTTGCATTTTTAATTGTATCTTCTTTGTGTAATGCTCTAAAGATTCAAGCTAAGAATGCAAATGCTATATTTAAGCAGTCACCTGTCACAATAATCTTATTTAGAGAACGAATTACTCCGAATTCAAAAGAAATTATTTCCATTTTCGACAAATTAGCATCAAAATACGAACCTGATATCAAATTTTACTTTTCCGAAGACAAGAAGTTTGCACAACAATACAATGCCGTATTTCCATTGAGAATTGGCATTTTTAGAGAAAATAATTTTGCTGGATTTTATGATAAGAAATGGACATATGAAAATTTAGATGTTTTATGCCATGAATTGTTAAATGTTGAATACAAAACAATAAATTCTGCATTTGAATTATACAGATTCCAATCTTTTGAACCAGTAAATCTCATTATTACAGATCCATCATTATCAAAGAAAGCATCATCGATCATTTCTCAATATGGTGGACTCTTACAAGTTGGAATTGTTACAAATGAAGAATTAATTAAAGAATTAAATCTTCCTAAGGTCCAAATTTGCCATCCGCTTAACGAAATGTTTTACAATTTAACAGATGTTGATCCAAAGACAATTTCGCAGTATCTTATACCAAAATACTTATATATCGAAAATGAAATGATCCTTGGCGAACAATCCAAGATCAAAAACAGTCTAGTAGTGTTATACGATCCAAAGGATCCAAAACATGTTCATGAAGTCTGCCAGAATTTTGAAATTGCAGAACAAAACTTCAGAGGAAACATTTCTCTTCAAATGATTGATATTTTCCTTGCTCGGTCATATGTAGAAGAATTTTCTATCGTTTCTTATTCAAATCCTATCTACATTTACATATTCAATAATCTTAAGGGAGAAACGAAGCCAACTGTACTTCAAAAGCTTAATCCAAAGCAGGAAGAGATGATTGCATGGTTAAATCTCGTAATTCTTCATATTAAACCTCAAAGAGAAAACAGAATTAAATTACCAGTTCTTCATGCCAACGAATTCATTGAAAAGGTATTGAATCCGAAGAAGGATGTCCTCCTGTTTGTTGCCAACCCACATATGAAGAAATACGAAGAAGGATACGATAATATGGAAATAATTGCACGACTTTTCGCAAATTATACAGATAGAATTGAGATTTATGAATTTGATATTACCAGGGAACACGTTGAAGGTTTAACTCTGCCAACAACGAAAGATCCCCAAATTTCTATTTGGCCGGCCAGTGAAGAACCAGATGGAAGTACTTTCACAGCTCTGGCTCAAGTTCCAGTGCTTCTTGACCGTATTGTCCAATTATGTAAGTCAGAATTTACTGATGACGAGTTGAAAGCAATGGCTGCCATTTTAGAACAAGAATTGATGTAAATAATTTGTAAAATAATGAATTTTGTTCACCTTAAATATATTTTTAAAAAAAAATCAAATGAATTTAAAAAATTAACAATAGTGGGTGTAAGAAATATAATCTTAGGGATAATATACACAATTACAGATCCTGACAACTGGGTGTGAAGCATTATTTAGTCAAAATGATGTTAACTATGGTTTTTAAATTCTTTCCTTAAAAAGTGACACTAAAATTGATGATGACTCGTTTTTGAGTTGCAATTTTCCAAGCATTGAGACCCTTCCAAGCCTTTATTTTTACATCTGATGGAAATTTTGTGTGAGAATGTTATTAAGTCCTACTAAAATACGCGAAAATAATCATAAATTCTTAAAAAAAATAATTGAATTGTGTCATTTCATACATTCCCACAATTTAAATCACAGTATCACAATTTTTTAGTAAACATAATTTTTACATAATACTCTAAATGTTATATTGATTAATTTATTAACTTTTAAAAATTAAAAATTTATTCCAATTGAGAGTATCTCAAATTTAAACAACTCATTTAGAATAAATTTGGATTTAAACATTCAATACCAACATTTTTAAAAAAATCAAAAAGATATAGTATTGAATTATTATAAATTTTTATTTGAAAAATTGAATATAAAAATCCAAAATATGCCATTTCATATCCGATATCAATTCTTATTGCAGATTATTCAGTCGCATAATTGTATTTAAATGCCTAAATAACAGACAAAGATTTCAATTCAGATAATGTTAATTGTTTCAATTATTTTCGAAACTTTCAAGGGACCTAATAATTTCACTCATGTCTTCCAAGCTGGTGTCTATGATATTATTCTTGATGGAGCTGCAGGAGGAAAAGGTTGTCATAATGGAATAATTAATTCTGAAGGAGGAAATGGAGCTCGATTTAGATGCAAAATTCGTTTTAAAAAAATACATCTATTGATATTACTCTCGGTGAAACACCTCCGCATAATTATTGCACTTTAAATTTTAATCGTGGTGGATATCCTTATGGAGGAAGCAGTGGCAAAGATATCTTTTTTGGCAATGATGCTTCGGGAGGTGGTGGTGGACTTACATATATGAGTTTTGAAAATAATATTTTTGTTGCAGTTGGAGCTGGGGCAGGTGGATGTAATGGAGTCAAAGGTTCTGATGGCGACGGCCAAATTGTAAGGACATCCCATGGAAGGAGTAATGAAAAATATTTTGAAAAAGATTATAAAATTCAAGGATTTCTTCCAAATCATGAAGGGGGAGATGGTTTATTTGCCAGTTTCATATCTCCAGGCGCTGGTGGTGGAGCTGGTTGGTTTGGTGGGGCTGGTGGCTATGTTTGGAAGCCAGATAGTTGCCATGGAAGAGGTGGGACTACTTCTTATATTCTGCTATCCAATTTATCATTACTAAATGAAAGTTTCGAGTACATTGAAGAACCTCAGATATTTAATGGAACTGAGACAGATAATCATGAACATGAAAAAATAACCATAGATACAATATACCAATGTCCAGAAGGATGTTCTTTGTGCAACTCATCGATAATATGTTCCAAATGTTATGATGGATACTATCTCTATAACAATAGTTGCTATGAGAATTGTTCGAGTGTAAATTCTCATCTTTTTGGTAAAGATGGTCAATGTTTTGAGTGTGATCCTAACTGTGCCACGTGTGTTGGTTCTGCTACCGAATGTTTATCATGTAATTCAAAATATTATTTAACATCTGAAAATGATTGTCAAAGATGCCCTGAAGGATGTGAAGAATGTAAGTCGAGTTCAAAATGTATCATGTGTACAACTGGTTTTATACATAAAGGTGATAATTGTTACTGTTCCAAAGGATATTATTCTTCAAATGATCGATGCCAAGAATGCGATCCTATTTGTGAAACGTGTTCTGGTTCAAGAAATAACTGTACATCATGTCGCTTTGGACAAATTCTGAAAGAAAATATGTGTATTAATGCAACACAAACAGTCTGTTTAAATTGTTTTACTGCACGAGAATCATTAATTAAATCCTTCAGAAAACGAAGATAAATAATTGAGCTGATGAATTCTGTTTTGAGACCTGAAATTTCCTCAATAATTATCTTGGTTTTACAACTCAAGAGAACCATACTTTTAGCTCTGTTTATATTTTAGGATTAACTTTTTGAAAAAAAAAATTGATATCAATGAAATCAATTGCTTGCGAAAGCATATAATTCATTTTTGCCAAATCGATGAACAAAGGCTTATCCGACAATATTTCTCCTGGTAACTTATATACTTCATTTTTTATTTTTGCACCAGAATTAGCTTATCTTAGGTAAGATAATGCTTCCTTAAATGAAATCTCAGCAAATTCTGATTATAATATTGTAAGAATTTAAACTGATGTAATATATAGAAGTGTAAAACTATTTAAAAAAAGTTACAATTTAATTTTAAGGGCGCACTTACCACTTTCTGACATTCTCTCAATTTTTTTGACACCCAAGCTATATATGCCAATTTTCTAAGATCAAAAGTTAATATTTTTGATCGGGAAAAAGTAATTATAAATCATTATATAGTGCTTAATATGGCTGCTATATTTTTGTGCTATTAAAATAAAGATATATTAATTTTTTAAGAACATGTCAGAAAGTGGTCAGTGCAGCTTAAATAAATCATAAAAATCATTATTTTAATTTACACTCAGAATGAATCTAAAATAGGCAGAGCGTATTTCTAAAACTTTTGGTTCTTTTGCTTTCGTGAATGGTTGCATTGATTTCTGTTCTTCATTCTTCACCAAACAAGCTATTACTTGACGAAATATCATATATATAATAAAGAAATACAAATTTTACTCTATAGCTGTTAAATCAGATATAACAGAATTCAATTTTGTCTTTTTCTCAGGAGTGAAAGCTTTTGACTTTTCACAGAAAGACAAAACCTTTTTCGCTAAGAATTTACCAACGTCTCTTCTAAATCCACCTTCTAACTTTGACACTTCGTCATCAATAATTGCTGGTTCTGCACTCGTGAAATACTCTCTGAAGTAAACCATGATAAACACTTGTTGTTTTGTATCCAATCTTGCAAACTGTGTACCCTTGAGGAACGAGAAGTTAACAATTGCTTTTGCAGTGAGTTCTGATGCAAACAATGCTGCATTTCGTATTTGTGGAGTTTCAAAGTTAACACATAATTGTAATGTGTTTCTGAGAGCTTTCATGAGATCGTGAACGAAATGCTTGTCATTCTGTGCAAAGGCCTCTGTAACAGCTGCATAGTATGGATTGTACATCGATTCGTTGCGACAACATTCGATTATAACAACGGGTACGTCTTTTCTCATGGTTTTTGATAGCTGTAGCTTGGAAATCTTCATAACTGCATCGCTGACATCAACAGCGGTCATAAGAGCATAGAAAACGCCTCTTCTGACGTCAGTTGTCATATGCATTTGGCTGGCGATCTTATTGAGCTTAGTAACGTCTTCATCGATGGTTGTATTCTTTCCGTCAGTTGATGAATAGTAAGAAACTGTATCTTTTCCAAGAGCTTCCAAAAAATTTTTGACATTTTTAGTATCTTTTTTATCGGAACTATTTAAAGCGTCAACAACTGGTTGTATGGCATCTGGAACTTCTAATAAAGATCGAGAATAAACGTCGATAAACATATCAGGTAAAATTGCATCGGAATAAAGTCTTTGAGTAATGCATCTTGTAAACATTGCCTTAGAAACTTTCGAATCGTGCTTTGCAAATGCTTCTCTGATTTGAGCTGAAATAATATTGAAATTTGATGGAGCAATTCTGTTCAAAAATCCTGTAAATTCACGTCTTGCAGCTTCTTCTTCCTCAGTTCTAACAGCTTTGACCATTTCCACTTTTTGCTTTTTCTTTGTTGGACGGCCTGCTGTAATTCCTTCTAAAATTTTTGCATAACCGTTATCAATCAAATAACTATCCCATTCGTTAACTTCTGGATCGATACCAAGCTTTTTTGCATAATATGCAATTTCTTGTTCATCTTGTTCAAGAGTTTCTGGGACGAGGAAGTCAGGTGCTTCAATTCCATCATCTTCCTCTTCTTCCATATCATAACCATTATCAGAATATTCTTCTTCTTCAGACATAATCTTTGCTTTTTATAAGATTTTCGAAGACAAAATCTTTATTTCAGGGGATTGTTTGGTGTATGTCCCCATATATTCTTACATCCATATTCTTGCATTGACGCCTTGGTATATTGAATTATTTCCTGTATCAATCAAATTTTACATATGGCAGATCCAACTATTCGATATCTATTTTTATCATATAAATAAATATTTATTTAAAACAAAATTTGAAGTATGAATATGGAATTATATGTATTAAGTAACAATTCATACTATTTACTTTTTAAATATTTCACTTGTATAATGAGATAATTTCAAAATAATAATGAAAAATCAAAAAAATCGCAATTTTTAAAAAATCAAATTCGTTTTCTAGAGATTGAGTTTCATTTTTTGCTATTTTAAAAAATTTTGGAAAAATTTAGTTCATGCATTACCGTTATTTTAGCGATCTTCATACAAAACACGCTAAAATATTCAACAAATTAACAATTTTGGAAACATTTAAAAAATACACCATCAATGATATAATAAAGGCACCGTTTTTCAAGTCCCATTTATAGATGTTCTCAATATCAATGTTGAAATTGAAAATTTCAGAAATTATAGTGCTCATTTAATTGATTGTTGAATTATTTCATACTAAGAGGGAAATATTTATCGACAAATCATCACATGGATATCAAGTTAACATAAAAATTCAAAAATTACATAATTTATATCACAAAAACCAAACAAAACAGTATTTTAGTCATCTTTTTTCTCTAGGCACATCAAATACATCCGTAACAATAAAGTAAGCAACAAAGCAAACCACCCATATTGCTGAAATTATTACATAAATGTCAAAGCTATTATTTCCGACAAGAAAATAGTATTTCATTTTATCGTATTGGCTAAGATAACTTTTTGCAAATTGAGTGGTTGCACTATCGGAAGTTTTCTGTGATGTGTAAAGTCCAATCAAGTATTCATATGTACTTTGACTCGATACCGATGTATGAATTAATGCTGCAACTAATAAACAAAATGATACTAAGGTTATTAAAATATATATTGAGAAGATCATTGGCACTGAGTTTTTGCTATTGTATTTCTTGAGACCTGGGATAGCCAAAATTGCGGACACTAATGATGCAACTAATAATATTGCTCCGATGATTGCACATTCAACACCAACTGCTTTAACAAAGATTGGTTGTGCAACATTTATTACCCAGTAGCAACTATATATAGCTGATGCTAATGGAATTAGCGTAAGGAGTATACGGAGCCATACTTTTGGTATATTTAAATCAATTTCATTGGGCATTTTATAAAATTTTAAACGTCTATTTTTTAGGAATTTACAGGAGTCAGGGTAAACCATCTACTTCGATATTACTATATAAATCTCTGAGATGAAACTTCAATTCGCAAAAATATTTGACTTTGATTTGATCTCTATGTAACCTTGTATTGAGGCACAAATACTTGGTTCATAAAAAGACAGACTATTCTTTAATGAAAATTCTGTTGAAAAGATTAAAATCTAATGGAATCGTAACCAAAATTACAAAAATAATCTGTTAAATTAACAGTACTTTTGGGATATATTATTTTCTTTCACAAAAGCGAAACATATTCTTTGTTTCATCTGATTTGAAAAAAAAAATATCGATTACAGGGATATATAGTTTACAAGAAAGAGTTGCGAGAAACATAAGAACATGGCATTACATTGCCTTCTGGGGCATTAAATGATGCAGCACCATTTTCACAAACATGAACGGAAAGTGTGGCTGTTGCATTAAGTCTTCTATTTGCGATGTTCTTAAGCTTGCAATCGCATTTAGCAACTGTGTTAACCTCAAAATTTGAGATTTTGAGTTCAACCTCACCAATCGGGATATCTCCGCCAAAGATACGTTTCTTAGCTAAGGAGAATATGAACGAGGTTGTATTTTGGTTATGATAACGGACTTCCCAAACTTTCTGAGGGTACTTTTCCATTGAATCAAATGCTTTTGCATTTCGCAACAATGATGATTTTGTTCCAACGCTGGCCACGATCTTGGATCCATAGTCTACATTGAAATTGCCTAAATCGAATTTTTCTAGTCTAATGTAGACCACGCGTTGTTGAAAATCAATCATTTTATTAAATTTTTTTGTTTACTGTAAATTTGAATTGAAATCTGGCTCATCATGATTTTTAGATAATTAGAATCAGCATTTGATAAATAACAAATGTTATTGATGTGATGACCTTATACGCTATGAAAATATTTTATTTGAGGTCATTCAATTTTTCTGAGAAAGGGACAAACTATCCAGTGTCACTTTTCAAAGGAATAAAAAAAATAATAAAGATGAAATAATAACATGAACTCTTATATAAATATAATTTTATCTAAATAGATAAATGAATTAAGCAGTTTACAGTTATATATATTTAATGAGAGACAATATCTAGTTCTATGGTAGAAATGACTCTTAGACTCAAATAAGTAACACAGATAGAAAGTACTCAGTATAACAATTATATATGTACACTCAAAGTTAGTCGCTGCTAAAATCTTAACCTTGCATTTCGGGAAAATCTGACTAATGGCTCTTAGACTCAAATAAGTAACACAGATAGAAAGTACTCAGTATAACAATTATATATGTACACTCAAAGTTAGTCGCTGCTAAAATCTTAACCTTGCATTTCGGGAAAATCTGACTAATGGCTCTTAGACTCAAATAAGTAACACAGATAGAAAGTACTCAGTATAACAATTATATATGTACACTCAAAGTTAGTCGCTGCTAAAATCTTAACCTTGCATTTCGGGAAAATCTGACTAATGGCTCTTAGACTCAAATAAGTAACACAGATAGAAAGTACTCAGTATAACAATTATATATGTACACTCAAAGTTAGTCGCTGCTAAAATCTTAACCTTGCATTTCGGGAAAATCTGACTAATGGCTCTTAGACTTGTTTTGATAATTAATTCTTCAATTATATTATAATTTATAACAAATTTCCTCAAACTATCTGTATGTCATTCAATTCCCGGCCACTACATTCAATGATGGACCATTTCCTTCAAATTTTGAAATACCTTATTCAATTTGTTGTATGGAGCCCGTGATATTCAACACTATGGAGCTCCTCCAGTTTGGTATCCAAGAAGAGATAAAAGCTAGCATGGGCTACTCTCAAAAATGCAGGAAAGAATACTCCACGATCGAATACAAATGTAAGTATCCACAATGTCAAGCTAAATTCAAAGTCCGGATAATAGATCAAGATAAATATGAACTACTAATCCACTCTGACTCTCATGATCATTCTGCACCTCCGAAATCAACAAAAACAATATCCTCATTATTTGTCAGAAATTATCTTAAACATTACTTTGAAAACAATATGAATCATGCTACAGCTCAACTTAAGTGTTTCCAAGACTTAAATATTTCATATACAGACGAAGAGTTACTTTCAATATTTGCACAAGGTCCAGATGCATTACGTAAATTTGCTCAAAGAGCTGAAATTGTTTCCAAACGCTTTAGTTCGGATGAAAAAGTTTCTTTAGCTATCTTTGTCGAATCTGTTCAAGAAAGTTGTCCAGAAGATTTAATTGAATTTATCTCTGAGCCGGGAAAACTAGTTTTTTTATATGCACCTTTCGAAGCGAAGGCCCTTGGTCACCAAATTTCTACGTTTCACATCGATTCAACGTATAAACTTCTAAGGGCTAACATTCCATTATATGCACTCACAGGAAAAACAGAACATACTATTGTTTTTCCTTTTTTGTATTTCTTTATTTCTCCTGACACAAGCGAAAATATTCAATATTGTGTTTGTCGTTATTTTCAATATATTAATAGAGAACCCGAGATGATAAGTATGGACTGCGCCCCACAAATAGCCGAGGCAATTGAGCGAGGTATTCCAAACTGTCATATTCTTTGGTGTGGCGTGCATGTCCTTCGCGCCATATTAAGAAAAGCGGATAAGTTTAAATCACGAGACAATTTTGAAGAATTTTATAATCTAATGAAATTATTAGTATTCGATACTAAAGAAGAATCTCCCGAGGAAGAACAGAACCAAGAAGAAGAAAATCCTAGAGAGGAACCAGCTCAATCTCACTTACTTCAAGCAGAAGAAATTGAAGAAGAGGAACAATATGAAGAAGAATTCATCGAAAATGAATTTCAACCTTCTCAAATCTTTTTACCACGAGAATCTTCTGATGATCCAAACGATTCTGAATTTATTCCAGAAGAAGAAACGTTTGAAACAAGTGAAGAAGTTCCAGAGCACCTCACTCAAGAAGAAGCTGCAGACCTAGATGCAGTTTATGATCGAATTCTTGAAATTCTTTCCACTGAACCGAAAGCCCAAAAGTACTTCGATAGGCAATGGAGGCATCATTTAGATCGTTGGAATAAGCGCTATCGCAACGGAGGTGACGCGACTAATAACGTCAGTGAGTCACATTTCAAAGTTCTCAAGCATTCTTATTTCCCAGAGAGAAGGAATATTCGATTAGACGATTTTGTTGTTGAATTATACACAACGGTTGTTCCAGCATTATTGATTAAATTTAAAGTTCATTTAATCAATAGTGATAAAGTTGTTCGTATATTACGAAAAGCTAATGACCATGAACAAATATTGGAAAACAAAAAAGTCGAATGTTTGAAAATGCTTGAAGCAATATATTCAAGTTTGCAACAAGGATCAATAGATTCAAATCTTGTTTATTGTACTTTAAAGGTACTTTTAAAAAAGAAACAATTAATGTAAAAGATTCAAATAATTTTTTATTATTATTTTATTAATTTTTTAAAATAAGGTTAATAAAAAAGTGACACTGGATAGTTTGTCCCACACTCAATTTTTCTTTTGAGTTTTTGAGATTGGATAACATAATCAATATATAGCGTATTATGATTTATGTTATATATGGATGACATTGAAAACAAAATTTCGCGCTCTAATATTTATTTGAGTTAATGACCGAATGAGCATTGAAAATGAAAAATTGAAAGCAAGCAATATGAAAACATTGTTATATGTATTATTGATATAGAATATATTAATATTTACTGTTCCTTAATTTTTCCTCCGCTAGCATTTGAAAAGGCAAAATAAATTAATCGACTTTTCAGAGCTGTTTAATTATTTCCTTAACATCAAAAATGTCATTATGGTAGTGATATTTTAGTATATTGGGGAGAAGCTTCCTAAACTTTTTAATCCCATAAATATGGTCATTATCTGGAATAAAGAGTTAAGCGTCATATGTCACTTTTTGTACTAAGGAAACATCGACTTTATGCGTTATGACTTTTCGATGAGGAAACAAGTTTCACGTATAAACTTCCTTATCCCAATAAACCGGCCCTAAACATAATTAATTTTAAGCATTATGGTCTCTTTTCTATGATAACCAAATCAATTTGGTTATCATAGAAAAGCACCAAAAACTGGAATAGGAATAGCCGCGTTAAAACAGGAATAGGCAATATGGAAACAAGGTAGACTCAAACTCATACTCAAGGCAAGACTGATACAAGAATTACAACAAAATTTTACAAATCTATTATTTATTCAATTTAATGGCAGGTTTAGTACCGAAGAGTTTGCATTCTACTTTTTGCTCTTATTTTACAAAAATATTCTAAAAATTTGTAACTTCTTTATAATATAATACTTTTTTTCAAATTTACTTTCCAAACGTTAATGTCTTGTTACGGCTATATCTTTGTACGGGGAAATAAAGAAATTTTATTATGCTATTATATTATTTTTTTTAAATCAATATCTAATCAATAGTAAGTTAGATTTTTTATTAAAAGAGCAAATAAAGATACGATCGAGTAAGGGTTTCGTTTTGCGAAAAAAACGTACAATACGCAATTTCGCTAAAAAAACATTTAGCTAGCAATTTCGACCTTTGACTCCACTCAAGACGTCACTTTTTTAATTTTGCGGTATCATATTTTTGGAAAATCTTTATGAATATTATATAAAAAGTCTCTTTAATATCTATATTTCATATTTTTATCGATTTTTAAAGTTTTTGCGAAAAGTATTCAATTATTTTTGCTATTTGATCGGGTAAATGTCAGATTTGCGACATTTTCTGATATGATATTCAGATTCTACGTTGATAATAATGCTTATAGAACCCTCTTGCTATTGTGTCAAAATTGCGAAACCGATAGCAAAAATATCTCGCAATATCAAAATTGAGATATTGAGTGAATTATGCATTATAGAGATTAAAAATCTGATTTGTGAAAACATCTCATCAGTTTCTAGCTAATTCAAAAATCTTTACTATCTTATTCGATTAAAATGAAAAGGGAATAGTTTCATTATGCTTTAAATGACAGCCTTATAATATAATCATAGTTTTCGCTCAATATGCAGCATTTTTTTTCGAAATCTATGGTCAATATCCTAAATACTGATTGCTTTGCATTCATATCTCTTACATTTTCTATACCCACATCACTATTCATTGCTATTCCTATCTTTTTCATTTTTGTTTGTTTCTCATAATTTCTCAAAAAACATGATAACTTGATATTTGTAAATATCATACTTTATAACGTAAATAAGAACTTGACCTATTAAGAAAAGCAGTAATGAAAAGAAAATCTGAAATTCATAAAAATTACAAGTTTCTGATGACAATTAGCTTAATTAAACCAGGTACAAGATTATATAATTGTATTTTCTATCCAATTATCCATATAATATCTTATCCAGAAAAAATAACTTGATCAATACCAAATGATTTTTTAACTAGTAAATAAAGTATTTTCTTTACACACACATTGTATATCATAGTTTTTTTTTTGGTTTCGCAAAACATCCAAAAACAAATATGCTATAAAAGTGACAATTTTAGCAAAACGAAACCCTTAGATCGAGCAATAGTTTATTTTAAATCTCAATATTATAAAATAAATGTTCAAAATTTTTAAGTAATAATACTAAATACTTAAATAAGTAAAAGCACACAAGAAAAATATTCACTAACTTAAGAAAAAATCATATATTTAGAGAATTATCCCTTATAATAAGATTAAAAAAAATTAAACTGTTTTCAATCATCATCATCACCAGCTCCATAGAA